CATATTAGTGGCCTCGGATGTATTATCCACTTGAGGGGTGGATACCGGGGCCTAGATGACAGTATCACCCGCTTCGCTATTTGGTATCCTTTTCAATCCTGTCGTTATTTTATCCATCTATGAGCTAACTGCTCCGCATCAGGCTCGACGTTGCGGGTAGCGTGATGGAAGACTCCCGCCCACGGTTGCCTACTCCGCCGGGATTTGCATCCCAAGTCCCCAATATTCTGTCTCCCACTCTTGGGAAACTTCTAGGGAACCTTGTTGCAAGATATGATTACTACAGCGACATCACGACGGCCTTCAGTTATGCGAACTTTCTTGTTCAATACACGGACGGGTCCCTTCGTCGTTCTGAGACAGCCTGGCTAAACGAGGATAACCTCACTGTAATTGAACTGTTTGGGCCAGCCACACATTTCCTACTTTGCATGTCGAGGCCGACCGAGATAAACTCTAGCGCAACAGACATACCGGTTCTACAGCTACGCGAAGCACTCCGGCTGGTGCTATTACTATTCCTTGGCACGTTGAAGCAAGCAGTCTTCCTCTTTACCGCCCACGAATGCGAATATCTGTGGTGCAAGTTGTCGACGCTCATTTCACAGATTGAGAAGGCCAACTATGACGACTCTTGTCTGAAATTGTATCTCTGGGTTCTCGTCACAATGTCTCGACTCTCTCATTCTATCCAGTCATCGATGTACCTTGACGATATCAGTGCTGTTCTGAACCTCCTAGGCATGGGCAGCAAGGAAGGCCTAGATCTGGTCAAAAGTATCATGTCCATTGACATTCTGGATGGCTATCTACCCTTCCTCTCAGCGCTAGAGTCCTCGGGTTCATAACCATAATCATCGCACTTTAGCCACCTACAATTCCACCACTGACGGAAATGACCTGTCCAGAGATCCAGCGACTCTTTTCTGAGCACAACAATAGTACTGCATCTGCAATATCCTGCACAGTTCCCAGTCGCTCCTCGACTCGGCTCATGGGAACCAATGTCTTGTTAATCCTTTCTGCCACCTGCGGCGGCAGACCATCTGTATCTACCGGACCTGGGGAAACTGTATTGATGGTGATGCCGCCATGATTGCGACCAAGCTATGCACCAATTAGTACACTCCTTATGTGAGATCTCAACCACGTCTTCAGCTTACCTCCATCGCAAGGGAAAACGTCAGCGCATCCATCGCCGCCTTTGAAGCACTATAGACTGGCGAGCCTGAAATGCCTAACTTGGACGCCACTGAACCGATGTTAATGACCCGACTTCGCGGCGGCATGTGCTTCACTGCTTCCTGCATGACGTAGATTGGACCAAAGACGTTGACGGCGAAGGTGGTCGCTAGAGCTTCGGGAGCAGCGCTGAGTACTGGTCCCGGAGTGCCAGTAGCGGCGTTGTTGACTGGTCCAAGTTAGCAAGCGTCAGAGCCTGGGAAGTGGAGATTTTCGTGGACAAACCTAGGATATCAAGCCTTCCAAAGGCATCAACCGCTTTTTGAACAAGTTTCTGCGCTCCGTCAGGCCGGGAGATGTCAGCCTGGATGGCTAGGGCCTGTCCGCCCGCGGCGGTGATGCTCTCCACCACGGTGGCAGCGGAAGGAGCCGTGGACAGTGAGACATAGTTGAGAATGACCGCTGCACCATGATGAGCTAGGAGAGTGGCAATGGCCGCGCCGATGCCTCTCGTTTTGCCTGATCCAGTAACAAGAGCTACTTTGCCTTGAAGACTAAGAGAGGAATCGGATTGGGGCATTGTGAATGAGTGATGATGTTGGGGATAATGGGAATCAGAAATCGGAGGGATCAGAGCGCCTTTTATGTCTTGCCAGCGGATAATAATGAGAAGGGAACAATGTAGAAGTGAGAGATTTTTCTGCCCTCCAGCTGGTGATATTCGCCGCCAAAATCCTGGAGGCTATACACGATTTCCCGATTTGGCAAACGGTCCCTGGCCCCTGCAGCTCACTCTGGCACTAAGCTGGATGCAGTTAGTGCTGATAAGTGGATATGATATAATACTGATCATTGGTTGGAAGCTGTTGTCATTACTCCTATTCCTATTCTGGCTTAGCATCGCTCTGTTGAGAAACTGGAGAGAGGACTCGGCAGAGAGCATCTTGGATTCATTTTGACACTAGATATGATACAACAAATATCTCCTACATACCGGTTGACCAAGGATCACAGCTGAATCATTCAGTTGCTGTCACGATTGTCCGCGACTGTTGCGTCTGGTATCCGGTCGTGTCGAATTCCACGCTACCACTACTGCTTTGGCTCAGGCTGCTGCTCTTCCGCAACTCTTCGGCCTCATTTGTGACGTGGAACTGGCGATGCTCCCAAATCTCCAACGGCTGCTCCTGAGTAATGTACTCGCCGGATTCGGTTGGGTCGATCGTAGACCGGCCCTGGGACTTATCGCCGGCGCGGAAGCGGGATAAATGGATGGTCGAGCTGTCCAAGCGACTGGTGTATTTTCCATGGCTGCGGTCGTATGACGAATGGGCCAGGAACGCCCGCCAATTAAACAGTCGGCGAAACAAAGTCCAGGTTTGAGGAATGTTGGCCACGATCACTGCTGTGGCAGCCTCGCGGACGTACCAGTCCACCCATTGGTCGCCATATGGATTAGACAAGGAGTAGTACTTGGACAGAATTGAGCACAGAATCACAAAAGCACCCAGCGAGAAGACTGCGCAAAGCGTGACCTTCTTGGCCAAAGTAAGTTTCGCCTTTACCAGCAGGGGTAGCGGAATGGCCATGATCATCAGGTCAGTTAAGATATTCAGTGTTAGTACCAAAATCAAGTGATTGCGATAGACGGAGCACTGGAGGTTCTTCGGCGGCACGGACCAGTATGCGGAAAAGGGACGACACCAGGCGGCAAAGAATAAGATCTCCACAATGACGAAGCTAATGGCACAGAAGGCACCGATAATCTTCACAATCCGATGCTGCGAGAGTCCGGAGCTAGAAAACAATCAGATGCTGTGTCACAGATTTCACGCAAGGCAAACCCACGTCATGGTTGAATACAGCAGCAGCAGGCAAGCCTTGCAACCCCAAATGGTGGCTAGCCACATCTGCTCCACCACAATGACCAGCTTGCTACCTGTGATACGGTCTGGGATGGAGGAGGGCTCGATGTCACCGAATTGGTCTCTAGGAATCTCGTTGGTGCCATGCTTTTGCACTTCGATCAAGAACACCGTCAGCAAGATGTAGAGGACCTGTTATGGCTGTGAGTCATGGGGCCGTTATTTGGATGACAACTTAAAGGTCAAGCGTACAACAGTAAAGGACATCAACAAATCCTCAAGTTGAAGATGGCGGGGCACTCCCATCTGCAACGTTCGGGAGACATAGCGCAGTAGGGCTGTCACGATAGGCGATCAGCACTGATCAGCATCCTGTCACGCCGTTTTCCCCGACGATCACTTACTGACTAGCAGCACCACCGCTAACCACACCCAGGTGTTGGCGCTCGACACCATGTTCTGAAAAGACAGAAAGGTTGCTTTTTCAGAGAAGTACCGGGTGTGATCTGTTAGGCTGATGGCGTAGTAGAAGGCACCCCAGGTGCCTGGCTCCTTTTAGCTGTTACAGCTTCTGCTGACACTTGCTAGAGCTAACAAGAGGACAGCCAATAGCACGCCGGCCGATTGTATAGCCTCTCAACGGGAGATGGGAGCTTCCATTGCGTGTTAAGGGGACGTAGGCAACAACCGGGAGCTGTGTCTTGTAAGTACTGCTTTACGAGCTCCTATGCCGCTCGTGACAATAAAACCTCCGATTCCCCGAAGCAGCCTTGAAGCCCAGTCGGGCCCACCTGATTCTCAAAGGGGTTATTTCGCGCGTGCATACGATTGCTGGAAGCCCTTCCCTCAAGGCTCCATCCGTGCTTCCATGTTTGAGGCGCCCGTGGCTCCGGGGCCGATCACGGCAATCAAATAAGCCAAGGGAGAGTGAGACTCTGGTGTAACTGCCTTATTGTCGATGTCGTTCTCGGGATGTGTTCTACTGAAAGGATAGCCTTTTCTAAAGTTGATCTGCTGATTGGAATGTTGCCCTCTATTGAGTCTTTCCCTTGCGCAGCTGAATATTACAAGGGGTAAGGGTGTAGCTACGCGGATAATTCTCATGGCCAAGGAAGCGGCGTATTGACACACTCGTGTTAATAAGCCCACTCTGGAACGGCCCAGCTTGTACGGAGTAGTACCGTTCCAAAGGCATGGGAATTAAGATCGGAGCGGGAAACTCTGCGGTGAAAATTCTGTCAACCCGTCCACCAGTTCAGGACACGCGCGGGTTCCTATGATTGCTGAAGGGTGAAAGAGTTGTTACTATGTTCATTGTATGCGGCCCAGAAATTGTCCAGATAAGTGGCGTGGGTTAGAGAAGTGGCTTGAATGCAGCGACAGTGTAGAGCGCTGCTGCTTGGTTCCTCGAGCTCGTGTAGCGAACCCGAATAGTGTCACTTCGGGCATTGTCCGGTGATTGACTCCAGGGCAGAAACTGGACCAGCCGGCCGAACGGGCCAACTGATAGGATCCAAGGTCTCAGCCGAAAATCTTATCTCTAACCAGTCAGCGGTAGGACGTCTCAGGAATAGAAATTACCTGCCCTCGCCGTTCCATGGGTCACTACCGCGCTCATTCCGACCTCGTTCACGGGAAGCATCACACCTCAATGGTTTGTCCACAGGACTGGTGAAATCACCAGCGAAGAGCGACACCCGTAGCAAATGTGGGAGAAATTACCTCCACCAATGTCCAAAAGTCCAGATGCTACTGACGTGGTTGGTCCGTTCGGCACAATGGACAGTCAACTTTTTATGGGCAGACTTGTGGCGCATCGACTGCGCTATGAATGTTACAATTTGTGTGACGGTAGGGAGTGTTGACCCTGATATCCCTGGGTGTTTGAAACTCAAATTAAACATAGGCATTATAGACAGACAGGATCTAAGTATGATGCAATCTTGTACCAATCTTTCTAGGCTGTAGCCGGATATTGAGGACATTAAATTTCCAAGCCCTTCTTGAATTTACACCATGATCATTCTACTTCTCACATGCTTTATACATACTAGAGCTGCCATACCAGGGTCGGCCTGCCAAGAATGGACTTTAAGCATGTTCTCATTAATGCCACTATACCCGGATTGATATCCAGTGTGCTCGATGTAGAGATGGGACATCTATCATATAGTGGCCCTCCGACTAGTCAAGGTCAAATCCCGGCCCAGTTTACCTGATAGTAAAGCCACCGTCTACGCGAATGTCCGCTCCATTGATCATTCCACTCGAGTCCTGTTTTACGAATCAGAATAAATTGGAAACACTCCTCAGTCAATGGGTCAGCTGCGTACCTGACAGAGAAATAGAACCGCATCCGCAACCTCATCTGGCTGCGCAAATTTGCCTGTCGGGATCGTCTTCAAGAAAGCCTCCCGCACATCATCCTGCCCCCAGGCCTTCTGTCCCAGAGCGGTCCAGGCCACTGTTGGAGACACGCTGTTTGCCGTGATGCCACGGCCACCCCATTCAGAAGCCATACTACGCGTGAGTCCCAAGAGTGCCGCTTTGGATGCACAATAGGCCCCGTGACGATGCAGGGCTACATGTGCGGCCTGGGAGGCCAGGTTGACGATGCGTCCGGGAGGCGGCGGATTTGGTGACGCATGAGCGACCTCCGCCGCGGCCAAGTACAAGCGCGCAAAGGCCTGCGAGCACAGCATGGGACCCAGGACATTGGTGTGCAGATGCTTCAGAGTCTCTTCCGGCGGGGTGAGCTCCAAATCACTGAGCGACACATAGCCCGCCGTGTTGACTAGGATGCTGGGGAAGGCATGAGCAGACTGCATCGTCGATGATGGGGTAAAAGTCTCCTCCTTGAGGGTGGTGAAGACCGACTTAACAGCCTCAGGGTTCGTGATGTCGCATTCATAGGTTCGGATATCCTCGCGCGCGGGCAGCTCACCGTATCCCGCCTCTAGCAGCTCATCGCGTCGGGCAGCCTCGAAGGGGGCATATAAAATAGCTAGCCGGGCACCTTGGTTGCGAAGCTTCTTACCGATACTCGAGCCCAAGCCGCCTTGTCGAGGGAGGCAGTCAATACTTAGATGAGAAATGTGACGAGGTCGGGTCTATACCTACCTAGACCACCGGGGAGGATGGCGAGCCGGCGCGCAAATGCCATGCTATAGTTGAGCCAATGATGGAGCGCTTAGGTAGTTAGAGAAGAGCGAACAAGAGCTTGAGATGAGAATAAACCGACCCAACAACGATAAAGTCAAGGAGTGATCGACTTGTTGGATTTCCCCGCCCCAGCAAACCGATAATATGACGTCATATCGCATATGGATCGTCGACACGGAAATGAAGGAATGGGATGGAATTCATTTAACTATGTCCATCGAGCTGTATAACTCCTGAACTGGACTCGACGCAGTTGATGTGAATCTGGGGGATGAGGAAAAGTCCGTATCCAAGCCTCTCTGTAGAGCGCCGACCGGAATTGTAATATACCCCCGCGTTTTAATTATCAGGCTTTGCTTCTGGACAACGTGGAACAAAGATAAGTGTGGAAACTAGGTTTGCTGGCACTGTACGTTTGAGTCACCCTGGAAGGGTGAATGAAATTCTACAAGGCCAGCGTATGAGGACAGGAGAAAAATGGGGTTTTATACCAGGCTGGGGCCTCCTCTCTGCCACTTACACGGACCGATGATTGAATCAGCGAGCAGTTGCACGCACCAGTCAGTACTGGTTAGAAGTATCCCTCGGAATTGATACTCTCTGCGGGCTCCAGACCAGTATATGCCGGTGGAAGAGGAAGGTGTGAGGTGCCTCGATCCCCAGTATCAGGGAACTGGGAGACGAGCAATAGGTCTATGTGAATCTATGTCTGTCTATACGTATCGCGTAAAAGAAGAGCTGCCTACATCATAGTCCAGTGTCATGAGCGAGAGGCCACAGGGCTTCTCACTAGTCACGATCTGCCCTCCACGATCTTGAGCACATCCTCTAATGTCTCTGCAGTATGATCCGGTTGTAGGCGTTGGCACTCCTCCACGTCGCCCTGGCCGTACCGACACCAACACACCTGGGCTCCGATGTTTCTTGCGTACAGGATGTCCGTCAAGGTGTCTCCGACCATCAGTACGCGCTCCGCTTCCACCTCCTCGGGCGCCCCCAGGGCTTTCCAGTTCGGCCAGAGCACGTCTGTGAAGCTGGACGGATCCGGCTTGCGCTGCACGCCGGCCACACCATGACCCAGGATAAGGGAATCTGGAAAGAAGTGGAGCAGGTCGGTCTTCTCCAAAGCCGCCTTCACTGCGACCGCTGCTTTGTTGCTGATGATGGCCATGGGTTGATTCCGATCGTGCAATGCTTGTAGGACGTCGCGAGCGGCGGGATAGGGACTTGTACGGGATTGGCCATGAATGGCATACAACTCGCGATAGGTAGGAATCCAGAGAGACTCGTCGAAGGTGGTGGGATTGGGGTGTAGACTGCGAAAGGTGTCCCCGGGAGGCGCGCCGGTGGAGACGAGCGGGCGAATGTCGCTGGACGAAGGCGGAGGATGAGAGGGTAGAAGGCGCTGGAAGGTCAATTGGATGGAGTGCTCGATGGCATCGTAGGTGTCGAACAGTGTGCCATCAAAGTCAAATATGACAAGCTGGTAGGACATGATGACTGATTTCTAAGTTGTTCTGTTTCTGCGTAAATTCCATTTCAGTTTCTTTTTCTTACTTTTTATTCTTTTTGACTCATTCCCGCAATGCCACCAGCCACCTCCGCCACGTTTGGGGGTGGCGCAGTCATCTCCTCCCGAAAGTATAAGCCACACATGGCTTGCATGGGATGTATCTTATTTATTTATTTACTATGTACTTGTGCCTTTCCCCAGATCAAGATATTTGGGGTGGTAAATTAAATAGCAGAGGCAGTTGCCAAAGAGTATGTATAGTTCAGTGGACGAACTGCGTGATCCTGTTCATCCTTCCATTCGAAGATCATTAGTACTACTAGTATATATATACTACTAATCTCTGTTACTGGCAGCTGCAAACATTCTCACCGTACAACACCATGATATCCTCCACTCTTCGCAAAGAAAATAAACGACAATTTTACTTCCTTCAAATATACGAGTACCTTCGAGCAATTTGAAAAAGGAAGAAGAAGAAAAAGAAGAAGTCTACTGGTAAAGATTGTTGTTTCCCATTATCATGCTGAACTCTGACCCGACTAAATAATGTCACTACTATCTGATTATTCTAGTTATTGCGAGCCAATAGTTCTCCAAGAATTCACTGAAGCTTTTAATATTTGCGTGAGGTTGGCAGCTCTATATCAATTGACTAGCAACTTTCGTTGTTCACCAAGGAATCGTTTTCAGTGGAAGTTTACAGGCCAGGGCCAAGGAATTGGACTATGGGGGCATGTTAGGATGGACGACCCGGTAAGCGATGAAGTAGCGGAAGACGCCAAGACAGGGCGCAATTTCGAATTAATAAAGCAGATAATGGTGGATTTGTAAGTGTGACCTCAACCTGTCAGTCAGAATGGTCTGTCCGATAATCCAAGCGCTGCCTGTTAAGCCGGTCGGGTCGGCTCTTCCGTCACCTCCGACTGAATTTAGGCACATTAATACAAGTGAAAAGCGTCATGTAGCAACATGCCCATCCATCAATGTAAATTTTTAGAGACAACCGAGGAGACGCTTGAGACCGACAAACTTTCCGTTACCCGTAGCTAATAATCTGGCACTGGTTGATGATGGCAAGGCAATCAAGCCCGTGCACACACACACATATGCCTATGGATTAAGATGAAGATGGTCCTCGACTGCATACGGGCCCCATCTTCGGCTCTACTGTTGGATCTGCACAAGACCTTGAATTGAAAGCTTAGCACACGGTGCCCGCGGGCTCCGGCGCGCCTAAGGCTTCCTCGGGATCTCATTGTACGGCATTCATGCACATAGTTCACTCACAGATGAGAGGCAGTCAATGCCATGACGGTCTCCGCCAGCCTTGCTGGTACCGCTAGCGTTCCTTCTAAGTGAGCTGTGTCTCTCCACGTCCACGCAATTCAGGATTGGGGGGGGGGGGGGGATTGCAAACAGCTGACAGCAGAATGATCCTCATCCTGGATAAGAATTATACATTAGTGACTCTAAGAGGTCAGCGTTCATCACTATTCGGTGAAGTTTAACATCGGGCCTTTACTCCTCATACACGGAGAGCGAAGTGATCCCATGTAGAGATCTCAGTGATTCTCTCACTAAAATACGCCGAGATGTTTACGAGAGGTCATCAGAACGACAGCCTGCAGGCTCTAGGGAGATTGAGAACCGAGAAGCCGTCGGACACGGTTGATGTGGGGGATAAATAGAGACACGACACCAGTCCCAGAATGGGTATCATCAGCCATCTCTCATTTTGTCCTGTCTATAAGCTACTCTCATTCTGACCGCGCAAATGGTCAACCTACTCTCTGCCTTCTTCCACCAAGCTGACCTTGCCCTTGCTGCGGCGGAGTACCTCAACTGGACTACGTACAGCGCCAATGAAGTTAACCTAGGCGGATGGCTTGAGCAAGAAAGCACTATTGATACTACTTGGTGGGCCGAATATTCCAAAGGCGCGGACGACGAATGGAGCCTTTGTGTACACCAAGGCTCTCAGTGTGGTCCCGTTTTGGAGAGAAGATATGCGACCTATATCACAACCTCGGATATTGATAATGTAGTATACGCCGGCGTAAACCTTTTGCGCATCCCCACCACGTATGCCTCTTGGGTCAAAGTGCCCGGGTCACAACTGTATTCAAGGGACCAGGTTTCGTTTCTGAACAACATTGAGACATACGCCATCCTTAAGCATTCCATGCATGTCATCATTGATGTACACTCATTACCCAGTGGAGTAAATGGTATGGCAATTGGAGAGGCAACGGGACATTATGGATGGTTCAACAACCAGACAGCGTTGAATTATTCTCTTCAGGCGATTGACTCCGTCACCACCTATATTCAGAATTCAAACCATCCGGAGTCCTTTACCATTTCACCCATCGACGAACCTGTGGACAACACAGATTTGTCAGCATTTGGCAGTCCAGCAGCATGATCGGATGCAGGTGCATCTTGGGTTCTGAAATACATTCAGGCAGTACTGGACAGGGTCGGGAAAGTCAACCCGAATATACCGGTCATGTTTCAAGGTAGCTTCCGAGGCGAAGAGTACTGGTCATCGAAATTCTCTCCATCCGCTAACCTGGTCTTCGATGTGCATAACTATTACTTTGCTGGCCGAGGAGCAACAGGCCAGAACATTACCACATACATCTGTGCCGATGCAGAAGATGGAGCGGGTGATGGCTAATTCCCTGTGTTAATCGGCGAATGATCAATCCAGGCACAGTACAACAACACCTTCGCTGACAGAGAGGAAGCTCTCAACACCGGACTTTATGCTTTCGCAAAATACTCTCAAGGAAGCGCCTATTATACTGCCGCCAAGTTTTCGGGAAATGCAACCGTCGACGGTCAAGGTACACAGGCGGACTACTGGAATTACATGACCTGGATCAATAACGACATGATTCATCCGGATAAAGCTTCTGAGATGTGCGCATAGAGGAAATCAATTTTAGGAGAAGTGCATTCCCTGTGGCCCGTCGAACATTTATCATGCTGCATAATAATTATCTCACTATTAATGCGAGCATGAGATCCGTGACGGTCGACTTTTCATGTGCTTGATGTTGAACCAGCTTGTTGCGCACAATGTCAAGGCTTCATACTGGGGTACTTAGCAAACAATGCTATAGAAGTATATCCTTCAGCAAATGCCTGACTGTCGTGTTGTATCCGTGTTTGGTGTAGTCCCTGATAACCGTGGCAATGGTACTTTACAGGTCTAAAAGACATGGTACGGCTATCGCTGGGCTTTGATAAGAGGATATTAATGGCAAAGGGTCAAATACGTTCATGAGATCTTCTCAACAAGTTAAAGGGTGGTATTTGATGATATACCGTGTATAGAATCGCCAAGTAGTGGCCCAATCCATCGATGATGTGTTGCTGAACCTTGCTGTTCTTCTATCTAGCACATCATCTCCTAGCAGACATGGTATCGTGCACCCTTAGGTTGTAAGTCCCTATCCCTTGTTTCTCCGGCGATTGATGCTGCTTGCATTAGCAGACTGGGTCATAAGATGTCGTTCTTGGTCCAATAAGCCATCAATGACCTCTGTGACTCCAATAAGCTCTCGACTCTCAACTCTTAATCCCACCAGCACCGACCCGCTTATCTCATGATGGATGCCAAACCACGTCTTTCGAGACGCATCAACAAAACCCGTGCTGTTGTTCCATTATCGCCTCCGACTCCAACCTCAACAACCATAGACTGGGATCATCTTGCTGAGGAGTATAATGACAAGTTGTTTGCTGGCTGGCTACAATTGCTTTTCCAGCAGTCCCCTGCCTTGCCGTCGAGGCTCGCAACCCAGCATCGTTGTGGCACTGCACGGATAGCTGATGTCTCACAGTTTACCAAGGGCGCTTACAATATTTGCTGCATTGTTACATTTGATGATGAATTCCGTGCACTTGTTCGGTTCCCAATCCTGGGTAGAAGCCGATTTCGGACGGAAAAGAGTCGAAACGAGGCTCCAGTCATGAAACTCCTATCTCAAAATACCGCGCTCCCTGTCCCCGGCATTCTTGGAATGGGCCGATGGGGATGTGGCCCTTACCTTGTCATAACTTTTATTGAGGGAACGTTGTTGTCCAACCGCCTGGGGACCCAACAATCCAGTCGCCCAGCTTAAATCCAAATGTTTCCGACTCCGACATTCAAAGTGCCTATCGCGTAATGGCGCAAGTTATCTTGGTATTGTCTAAACCAATCTTTTCGTCTATTGGAGCTCTGGAAGAGGGTTCCCAGATGTGGAAAGTAGCTCAAAGGCCACTGACCCTCAATATGAACGAACTGGTGCGCGTTGGAAATCTTCCTCCTGGCATATTTGCCGAAGGAACATTCAGTACCGCGGGCGAATATTTCGAGGAACTCGCGAGACAGCAGCTTTCCCACCTTCAATACCAACGGAACGATGCTGTTGATGATGAGCGAGATTAGAAATACATAGCCCGCTGCCTTTCTAGGAAAATCGCCCGGGAGTATAAAAAGCAGCAGTTGGGTCCGTTCCATCTTTACTGCGAAGATTCGCGTCCGTCCAATGTACTTTTTGCAGGACAAGACTTTTCACTCACTGGTGTTATTTATTGGAAATTCACTTATGTTGCGCCTGCCGAATTTACCTATACTGCACCCTGGTGGCTCCTCATCGAGAGCCCCGAAGCTTGGGAGTCAGACTTGCATGTATTCTTGGCACGGTATACACCACGCTTGCATCTCTTCCTCAATGCACTCCGATCATGCGAGGACGAGATGATCCGAAAGGGTGCATTAAAGGAGTATCAGCGGCTTTCAGAACGCATGTCAGAGTCTTTGAATAACGGGCTCTTTGGTTCTGCCTTGCTGCTAGGAAAAGCTACATGTTTGATGATATCTATTGGCAATTTACTTGACAAACAACATTTTGGACAGTGATCTCTTGAAGATAGGCTTTCGCTTTTGCCACAGGAGTTGGACGGACTCAAGATGTTTGTTTCTTCGAAGATGCAACAACCCCGTGAGAACCACTTAGGCGAACATATGTCGATGGGCAAGCTTATTGATCTTTATTGCTAATCCGACTCCTAGTATTTCAATGCATGGAGTATATGTCACCTGTTATCCTATTGCTATATTCTACGGTGCTTTGGATCCTCAGGACCTCGGAAAGTTCTGCTGCGAATCTACGTTTACCCACCACAATATGCGGCGCCCCAACTTCTTCAACGTCATAAAAGCTATCATACAGACCTGTGATATACGCTGCAACGGAAGTAAGATCCTGGTTATAGGTACTGCCATTAGGAGATGCGATATTTAGTGTAGTTTCTTGGTACAACCTACTTCTAACACATGTTTAACATGAACAATATATGCTCTATGTAATAATAGACTTTATACCCGCTGAGGTCCAGGAATATTGCTTAACCGCTGCTTTCACCCGCCGTTTTGAATGAGCCCCTATATATGAATGTACTACCAATATGCTGTAGGCTAACTATCTACTATAGCATAAACCAGTCAATGCCGTCGTCGATGATGTGAAACAGCGGATGCTGATGGGTGACCACCCGCACCATGGAGATGTAGGAGTGTTGAGATGGGAGTAGCACCCGGGTAGAAACTCGTCGGCATGGGAGGAATAGTGAAAGGGCTCGTTGATGGCAGATTAGAGGTGAAGTCAGCTGCCATTGTTGGAGCAGCATAGGTCCTATCTCGTTGTTAGTAAATATGGGTTGAAATGAACGACGCAGTCACGTACGGGGTGGCAGTAATAGTCTGTTTGCTGGTAAAGGTCTTTAGATCTGTTGCTCCCTTTGCACTAGAGAGACAGGCCCCATATCCATAGGCATTTTCACACAGTCAGACCACATAGCTGGTGTCGTTTGCCCAGAGGTTAACGTTTTCGATGGTAATATCGTAGCACGGGACGTCAGAGTCACATTGTAGACGGATCACTGGGCGTGAGGCGCTAGCGGATTCTCCGTGCCAGTTCTATATGTTTAAACAAATCAGAATGTTTTCCACATCTGGATAGAATGCACTTACTCGGAATGTGAGGTTGGACACTTGAACTCCTACTGAGCCTCGGTCCTTCCCCCAGGCCTCGTCTATGGCTAGCGGGTAGGGACCGCCGTGAACTATAACATTCTCCCAGATGATAATTTTAACAATTCCATCCCCACTGTTGCTTTTCAGGAAGCACGCACCTGCTCGATTCATGTAGAGATTGCGGTAGTGAATGTCAGAAATATTGGTGCCTGTGCCCAAGGAGCCAATGGCGGTCCCACCACTTAGATTGCAATAGATATTCTCGATCAGATAGTTGTGCGCCGGAGACTTGACAGTGACACATTCATCGCCGTTCCTCACTTCAATGTCATGGAACCACATGTTCTCTCCCCATACGTCGATGGCGTCTGTCGCTCCCACTGATGTCACCCCGCGGATCAGAATATTATATACCTCGCCACTGGAGACAGTATCAAAGACGATGTAGTAAGGGGGCGAGTCAACAAGTGCAAATCCATGCACCGAGAGATTACTAACGTCTTGGATGCGCAGGAATCTCTCGCCGTAGGTGTTATTCTCCAAATATTCGTATCCAAAGCCCTGAATTTCCCCGCGAGAATTGCCGCTGAAGACTTCGAAACCATTGCAGTCACGGACCAGAATCATCTGGTACGATCCGCGGTGTCCGCGCATGATTACACCGTCTAGCTGGATTGCAGAGGACTGGCCATGCTTGAACTCGATATCCACTGCCAGCGAGTAGTTACCAGGTGGGATGTAAACCAGGCCCCCCACAGAGCAGTTTCCCCAGGCATCGAGGAGGGGCTGCGAGATATCCGTCTTACCATCTGCGAGGGCTCCGTAATCGACGATGTTGCAGGTTTGATTCTTGGCTTTAGTGCTGTAGTCCACTAGAGGGCCAACGGGACCAGATAGTTGCGCCCGTGCCAGAGTGGCCAAGAACAAGGTATATGGTAAAATGCTGGGTCGCATGATGACCTCTGACCATCAACAGACTATCACGAGCAGTGATCGTGGTCTCTATATCCTCAACGAAATTAAGAATTGGTTGATGGGAACATTCGGGAGAGGAAGTAGTACATAAGTAGACATACAATTAGGGGGCTGAAGCGCCCGCCGGTGACGATCGCACCCCAGATGTGAGGGCTGCGCGTCAAACTGATTAAGGGACAGCGCTATGGGCGGTCGATGATGAACCAAGTGGAGATTGGCGGGGAAGAGCAGGTAAGCGAGCCAAAACAGCAGACAAATCTGCCGATGTAGTAAACGAGCCCCGTTTTCGTAGCCGTCCCCGATCATATGTGCAAGGCCTGTCATAGTGGCTCTGGAGACTCTCCAGTGGAGAGGCCATAATAACGCTTATTTAGTGCTCATTCCTCCCACTAGCTCTAATATTACTAGCGGACGACAGGGGTTCAAAGCGCAAGGGTATATGGATCAGACCACTCGCCATGTCTATCAACAGTATCACACGTCGTAATACAATTATAGCACAAGGACAGTCCCTAAGTGACAGCATATACGAATTAAGTCGCGATGGGAGGACAAAGAAACGGCGCAGCAGCCAACATAATACGAAAAGCTCCTCTAGCCACTGCTCTGCTTTTGCTATCCGGTCATCGCCTAGCGTCGTATTCCAAGTACATCTACTCTATATTTGCGTCTTGTGGGAGGCTTCTGGAAGAAAGATCGCACCAACTATTGGTGTTGTTACCAATCAAGAAAATGCCATGTTTATCCTTGATCTGGTGGACAGAGGGCGGGGGAAGCATAACGAATATGGAATTCTTGATTGAACCTCCAAATTCGAAGATAAACCCCCGATTAGTGCAGTTGATCAAGGAGTTTGGGCTTGTACTTCTTATGTACTTGGATCAATACAGAGAACCAGATGGTGCACGTAATCCGGAACTCAACTGAACCTGAGTATCTCTGTCAAAAGTTTTTCTCGCTATTTTTGCCAAAGAACGATTCGTAGGTTGTACAAACCGTTGTTACACAAGTAGGATTGGCATATGTACTCCACCCGCAGGAGTACATATCTATATGATCCTAGTAACAGGGGATTGGAGACATTTCGTCAGATGTCCTGTATCTTCATGGAGGCTACCGATTTTTGGCTATTGCAACATCAATCTAGAACGTGGAGGGACCCTACACCTATTTAGCAATGTAGCCATCGGGCCTTTGGAAATATAGTACATTGTAAGGACAATAATATTGACCATTCATATATGCATGGTTTACATTATCAGGGTGTTTCCGGAGAATCACGATTTTGTCTGTGTAATTTAGTTGAGTTCAGAAATCCATGATGAAGTTGGTTTCACCTGATCTTCGCTACTTGTATTTGATGGAGGATGTCATTAGGGCATCTTGACTACTGGTAACAAGCCCCTACTAGTACTTCCGATACTAAACGAAACGAGTAGCAACTCCGGTGGATGATTAAATATTATAAACAATAAGGTAGATGTCAAGCTCGTACTAGTTAGACACGAGACTTCCATATAGTCACGACAATGCATCATGCTCACCAATGCTACTTAACAAACACCCGGAACCACATGCTTAGTATCTCTAAGAGGAAAATCCGAAGTTCAGATGTCAAACCCAGTCTTTGCGTGAAGGATGAGAACTGCTAGTCACGTGATTTACATCAGTTGAGTCATGCAACCATCGGGGGATCGGCAGTCGCTTCCATCTGTAGTTCACGTCACGAGTCAAGGAATTTCCAGATTCTTCATCAACGCCTCATCCTCTGGTAAGTTTTGATCCTCTTCAATATGACTTCATGGAAACATGTCGAACAAAGCAGGCTGGATCAAGAATCCCTGGGGGACAATTCAGGTTGAGACTGTAGAGAAATGGGTTCCTAGCCGCGGGGAACTGTTGGTACGGGTTGAAGCAGCCAGCTTTAACCCCATTGATGCCAAAATCCAGAGGTATCGTTCCCAAGTACCCGCCAGCCGGCCGTCAGACTAAGGATCCAGGTTGGATTTATTCCAATCTTAGTATCCCATCATCCTCGGTTTCACCTCTGCGCGAACGGTAGTCTCTACAGGGCCCGGGATAAATTCGGTGCAACCTGGCGAACGGGTGGTGGTGGCTCGCTGGGGCCAGCAAGCGGGCGAGGATCCTCGATTCGGTGCCCTCCAGAGGTATGCACTGGCGCTTGAGCAGAACACCCTGCGATTAGAGCCGAGACCACCTTTGCTGATTCCGCCGGTCTGATCGCCAATCTGGCGACCGTGATCTCCGCCCTCACAATCTACATGGGTCTTCCGAAGCCCCCAGTCGCCGGCACGAAACCACCCACGGGAAAGAAAATTCTCGTCTACGGCGGTTTATCAGCGGTGGGGGGCTTCGCGGTCCAATATGCGACGGATGCTGGGTATGGAGTTCTTACCACCTCGTCCGCGGCCAACAGATCCATGGTGGAGAAACGCAACCCGACGCATATCATCGATCATAGCCGCCCCGACGAGGACGTGATCCGCGAAATCCGGGAGAATGGGCCTTACGAGGGAATCTTTTTGAAGCAATCGGCTCCACCACAACAACCAGACGCATGGTGGCATTGCTGCGCGAAACGGGAGGCAGGTTCTTTTCAACCAGCCCTTCCCCTGGAGATGAGGCCATCCCTTTAGGTATAGAGAAGCTGTGGGCCGGATATTCTGAAATACTCGTATCTCAAGCTGCACATCGCGAATTGCGCACATGGTATATGAACGCATATCTACCGGCTGCGCCGAAAAAGGGCACGATATGGCCAATCCGGTGTTGTGGCTCGAAGGAGGGCTTAACTCCGCCCAGAAGGGGTTAGACCTCCTCTATGAAGGTCATATTAGCGGCCGAAAGGTTTTTATCAACCCAAAAGAATGAGGACACCGTCATTTCGGAGACCATGCATTATCCTCTACTCCGGGTTGATACACAGTACGGATTCTGATGCGACTGTCGTTATGTATTCGTGCCTTTGAATAGTATATCATTGGGCGAGACTCATCTAAGAAGCCCTGATTATGTTGCGAGTAAACAGCAGAAATAGCATCATTCGACATGCTCGCCGAGAAGAAACCAGCACCGGAAATCCAATAATAAATTAGGCCCGTACCTTATGTACGTATGAGATAGAAGTGAAGTTGAAATGGCGGACTTTGTCTGGATGGCGAAAATAGCCCGAAGGGATATTTGTCCGGATGAACAAGACACAGATCCAATATTAGCTAATGAAATGCAACTTATTAGTTATCCTCTTCCGACCCAGCACATAATCAGCTACTTAGTACCGTGTTTAGCGACATCGGGCGCTCCTGCCATGTTCGTCCAACGAAAGCCAGGATCTCAGTCAACAAGAAAACTTCAGACTGCTGAGCAGAGCATAATATACGTATTACGCTAGATACTGGTGCGACGCAATTTTCCAACCGAATAAACAATATCATCAAAGGACCGGTTGTCATTGGGATCAAGATGGCCGTTTGAGACCCCACTGACAATACATATCACTAACTGATCACTAAAGTATACTACTACTAAACTACATCTAGTTTGCTGCAATGGCTTATACTACAACTCATGCCTGGTAAGCTAACTGTATTCTGTTTACTTATCTGTCGTAGTATATCCTTTCATTCAGGCCAAAAGCTTCACGATCTCTTTCTGTCCCCGCCAAATCGCAAACCGCAACGCCGTCCAGCTCTTATTTCCGGATACCATGGAGACATCTGCGCCGGCGTCCAGCAAGAGTCGCACAATGTCCGTGTGGCCGCCTTCTGCCGCTGCTGCCAGCGCTGTGTAGCCATTGTACCGGCTCCCGGGAGCGTTCACATCCGCCCCGGCCGTCAAGAGTCGACGGACGGTGGTGCGGTGACCGTTAAAGGCCGCGCCCTGGAGCGCCGTAACGCCATGGTATCTGCAAGGTGATGCATTCACATCCGCACCGACCTGAATCAGAAACTCTACCATCTCATCATAGCCACCCAGCGCCGCGGCCTGCAGTGCGGTCCGACCCCGGTTGTTGGCCGGGGGCGCGTTGATTTCCGTAACAGGCTGCTGTTGTAACAGCCATTGTAAGATCTCGAGATGACCTCCCTCCGCTGCGGCCTGCAGGGCGGTGCGCCCCATGTATTTGTGTGCTGGGTGTTTAACGTCTGCGCCTGCGGCAACGACCAGATGGCGAACGATATGGAAGTGGCCGGCGCCCGCGGCGAGGGTGAGGGCGGTTCGACCGCCGTTGTTGCCTCCGGCAGCATTCACATCGGCCCCGGCGGCTAAGAGTGTCTTGACCACATCAAGATGACCATTGAGCGAGGCCGCCTGGAGTGCAGTTTGGCCGTAGTAGCCTCTGGGGGGCTCGTTGGGGTTGCTTGCTGGCTGAGACAAAAGAAGCTTCACATCGGGTAGATTGCCCTGCGCGGCGGCCAGCTGAAGGGGGGTCCAGATTCCCTCCTCGTCTGGTTCGTCCAAGGAAGAAGGCAGTCTTCCGTGCACTAGACTTGAGAGTTGTGAAAGAGTCATTAAGGGGCACAAGACTTGTCCGTTGTCAGGATTTGCCCAGGGAACAGATTCTTGCGAGTTCTGGCTTTACACAAACTAGTGCTTACGCGGTTATCACGGCATGTTAAACAAGCAGGCCAAGGCAAGGCTTGGTTGCATCCCCGCCCTGGGAGTTCATGGCTGATAAGGCCCAATATGCATGACCGCGTATTACCGATGTAACGGGCGGAGCATTGTATTGAACATGACTGATTACAGGGCACCGTCAGGAATCATCTACCTCTGGCCCTGTCCAAATCTCCCGCAGCCCACAACAATCTCGATTTCCCCGTTATCAGCATCCTGATGCTGGAAGCCATGTTGATCTCTCCAAACAATTGTGACGCGAATAGCGATAAGGACATTGAATTTGTCTCTCCGTCTGCTGGGTTGCTGAATGAAACGACGACTAGGATCACATCGTCACCAGTAACAAGGATACCAAGCCTTCTTTGGAAATATGTAGATGCTCGTCTACTTTCCGAAGGCTTCCTCGTGTTTTCCCGGTCGTGGCTCTGATATCAAATGCAGGGAGTTCAGACAAAACGGATGTAGTCGACAAGAGAAGCTTTCGTCCCACGCATAGGCATCACCTGGCGACCATCTATGATTGCACGATATTCGAATGATTTCTCTGTACTAATGCTAAAGCTTTCCTCTGTTTGCCAGTCCCGCGAAAGCGCGTCATTTTGGAGAATACCTCTGGGCTTGGTCCTGAGCTCGTCTATCATGACACTGAAATGGTGTGAAACAAGACCAGGACGCAAGAGATTCATAAGAACTGGCATTCCCCGTTTTCTAGTGAGTAATCTCAAGTACAAATTGTACACCCACAGAAAAAACTTTGATCTCACAATTATGCGTTTATTCTCAAAGCTGGTCGCGGCTACATCACTATATCTGCGGAAGAAGAGTTTGAAGTCCTGCACCTTGCTATCAAAATGGACAACGTCTTCGGGCAATGTGACCACCAAGGGCTATACCATGGCGGTTTATCACCAGCAATATTGTTTTGTAAGCTTTCCTACCCGTGTTTCGAAGTTCAGATTACAACTGATTCCTCTTGTAGTCTCTTTGATAATATCCGTTGCGCGTCCCATCTAGGTTCAACGTCTCAACGTTCTTCTGTGTGCATCCCCTTCGTCATTCATCGCATGTATAGAGGGAAAGAGCCCACTTGCCACCTCCTCGAAGAAGGTCATGGCCCAGCTCCAAGTTACAAGCAGACCATCCCCTCCTGATCATTCTCGCGTCCCCTCAGACCGATCACGCAACGAGTGTCCACAACCGTGGTAACACTGGATGTGACTGCCGCGGATCCGTCGCCCAGGCCATCTCGCGTGACTGCAAGTTCGATGGGCTAGCAATAGCCTGGCTCCCCATCTCATTGTCGTGGCGATGAGTTGGCCGAGGAATTCAACACCGCAGGCGACCTGCCCAACGCTACTTGGACCTACTACGCGGATAGCGAGTGCACCATCACCATAAATGCAAGTGAGGTGGCGGCGTTGGGGGGCTGGCCGACGGCGTTGGTACACATGCACATGAGTGTCCAATGGCACACCCTGCACTGCATCTTATACGGACGCAAGCAGTTCTGCACGCGGTTCAACGAGAAAGTTGTGGAGCCTCCATCGGACACGGATCATCATAACAAGCATTGCGGAGAAATCTTCGTATCGCCAGGATCAGGTACCAAATCGGGGGTAGCGCTTGTGACCAGCAGCGAATAGGTGTGGACGCTCATACCCTTGAGTATCGGGGTGGTCAAGTGGGGGGTTTGTTACGGCCCTTACGTCCTCCGTACACTGGCGGATGCCCGACATCCCCTACGCGTAATCAGGGACGGGGCTGCGCACGGTCCCTAGGATCGATATCTATTGTCCGACATGAGTTATTTGTCTGCCTTCTGATCAGAATTCCTCTGCCATGCTGTTTGTTATACAACGGTAATCTTGGCTTGGTCGCTCGTACTGATCCGAATTGTCCCGGTCAATGCTTAGTGCCCATGGCTAGCTGGTCCTATTAGCGTGTGGAAGGCAACTGAGGCAATGGTGAGTTGATCCTGTGTATCCTGTCTGGACCATCTACAGTCGTCAACAATACCACTGCATCATCCACGACAACACTGTCGAGTTTGTTGAAGGTTTGGGCAAATTACCTGGTCCGGGCAAGTTCTTTCAACTGTTGTGTCTCAGTCTCCATCGATAGAATCGGCCACTTCACATTGTAGCTCTCTGCCAACCATCATCAGGACTCACGATCAACCTTGGAGGAAACCGTTGACCGGGCCAGGAGCTTCTTCCTGCAAGTTGGGTCCGAATCAGCTTGCTTTACCTTCGCCGCTGCTGATTCATCTTTCAACAATGGCTTTTGATTACTGTTCATTACGAAACTTCCAGGGACTCTCACCCCCCTCCCCTGATTGAAACTTATTCACCCATCCGATCGACGATAAATAAAGACCTGGGCCTGGGCGACTCTCGGATTGTATTTATCAGCTCCTTAATACTTTATTTGTGATCTTTGACGTCGTCTGCGACCGTATCTAACTTTACGTTCCGCAACTCGAGCGCTAGCAGCTTGCCGAGAGACTTCACTATAACCTCGGTCTCGAGCATCAGCTTCAATTTTCGCGCCCCCGCTCTAGCTTTGTGGACTATTCCGGGAAGGAGTTCCGGGAGCAGCCGTCGTTTGTTAGGTTGGATAATCAATTTATGGTAACGCTGAACTCGGCGATGAGAGTGAATTGAGGTACCTACAATGATTTCAAGAACGGTATCCGGAGATGGAGCAGGTCCAGCGGAGCGGCGACTATCTCAACTCTTTCCCCCAGGAGGATCCATACGCGGTGCAGATCGCCATGGACGCCCTCTTCGACCCTGCCCACTGTCTCCTGGTGCTGCCTCCTGGCGCTGCGTCGGTATTGGTGCGTAAGGGTAACCAGTCGGCATGTCTGCCCGCGTGCTATCGTGATAAGTCACGTGAAGCATGGGTTGGATTCTCTGGACGCAGTGCTGTTTGTTGATAGCGTTTCCAATAAAAGTCCCTACTACCAAAAGATGCGGATAGCCGGATGCCGGGGTTGGTAAGTGGCTGTTTTTAGAGTTCAACGGATGGATCACGATTAGAAGGGTTCATGGATTCATGCTCCTAAAGGCTGGTCATACAGATACAATATAGTAGTGTACTGGGGATGGCCCATCATATGTGCTGCCGCACTATAGCGACATAGAGAGCTAGTATTTTGCGATTTACTTAACATTACACTTTAAAACCTCATAGTCATATTTGACCAAGCCATTTCAGAGACTACTGAGTGTTGGCGGGGAGCAGTATCACAATTATTCACGATCTATATCCTAGGAATGACGCTCTTCAGTCGTTGACTCATGATAAGTTGAAGGATGAATAGATTTGGATAAAGGCAAGCCAGAGCACGTTCTGTGGAAGTATACCACTATCTCAACAATATGGAATAGAGGGTTTACTAAGGCATGGTCGCTGAAGGCCCATGCTTATAGTGACATCAATGGCCCGAGGAGAACCAAAATATGCTCCACTGTCCAGACCTTGGAACATATGCCTCAGTTTGAGTCTTCTCCTTCTTTCCGCGTTCCCAGCAGCAGGTTTGCCGCCCACCGGACCCGTAGTTGCCCACTCGGACATTCTTTCTCAAACACACGGTCCCAGTCAGCCAGCAAGACATGCGCAGTGTCGGGCATGAGCGTGTGTTGTGGTGGCAAGCATGTGTTCAAGAACTTAAGAAGCCACTGCTTGTCCGCGTCGAACTCCCACCCTTCTGCCTCATCATCGCTACCGGTATAATATCTGAGTTGCTTGTCCCTGCCTGCCACCGCACTGTACTTCTCGGGCTGCAGACCAGCGGGAAAGTACTTCACAAACTGCGCGTAGTAGGGCATCTTGCCATCATCGGTGGGGTTGATGTACACCCGGACAGGATCCTCGAACAATCCTTCCGGCGCTGGAACTGAGTCTACCTGCCCTTCACCAGATCCCAGACGCTGCATCAGACCATACAACATTGCCGCCTGGTTTGTTTCAGCATCCTGCTGTAGCGGCTGCAGGAGCACCTTTACAAAGATGGACGCAAAGACATCATGAAAGTGTGAAGACTGTTTGGGGAACGTAGGAAGCCAATAGCTAAAGATTGCCATTGTTCCGCCCGGTCGGAGCATCTTTCCAATAGAGGAAACCAGTTTATGTGGGTCCATAAAATGTGCTGCAGTCGCACAGATCGCCATGTCAGCCTGGCGTTCACCGACCTGGTGGTACGCTTCTTCACCCACGGCCTGGCTGTACTCAAAAGTAGGATGCAGGCCATGTTGTTCCGCCCAATTAGGGAGAAATATTTTCGCCTGGGTCTGGTTGCCTGGACTGGGATCGGAGATATGGATGATTTGGAAGTCGGTCATAAAGTTCGTGGTGGCTATGCCCGAGCCGGCACCGATGTCAACCAGGCGCTCCCAGCCACCGGGATGAAGGCGTCGATAGTCATAGATAAGTGAAGTTAGAGATTGCGGGTATTGGGGACGACCTTGATGATAGTCCTCCCAATCCATGGTAGCAAAGGTGGTTTTGGTGATCGGGTCGACGGTTGTCATATTGTCGGTCTGGGTTGTATTCGGATTCCTGAGTGATTGAGTGTAAAAACTGATTTGGCTCTAAACAAGTTCATCTCGAATTTATAGAGCATGCAGCTGTCAGGTCTATAGTACAGTCTGTTGATAGATAACGGAAGGTCTAGTTCGAGGCCCTCGCGTGGGCTCGGAGTTACTTTTCGGAGCAAATCTGGGAATAAGGACCCTAAAGTACGGGAATGTTGAGTATAGGACAGGCATATAGCGATATAATAATGGCCTACCAAGATATGCTACTACCGATCGAGGTAATAGATGAACAAACCCCTTAATTGGGGTCTGTCAAATAAGGTTTTGATCGTCCAATACCAAGAGGTGCCTGCAGAGAAACGGAGATGATCATTACCTTTTCCCGCTCTGATCATCAGAGCTGAGCCTCTGGCTGCGATCCGCGCGGTTGACTGCGCCCCCGTTAGCCCAATCTTGGCCTCTATCTAGTATCTACTCCGCCTGGACGCCTTCTATACTAATGTCGGAGGCCTATTAACGGAGGAAACAGTTGTAAAGACCTTCTACATTGTCTTTTCCTGGCTTCTGATAGAGTAAGTGACAGCTCAATCACGTACAGATATGTGTGATGACGCACAGTTGGGTATTAGTGGTTGATGTATGGCTTCAATAGGAAATGGATGCTCAAAACAGTGGCTTCGGTTATGAAAAGCTGGCCAGGCGAAGTTATGCCTTCGCACGTGATTTCATAGAGAATTACATAATAATGTCTCCGTTTATGCCGATAATATTAAACTTGGGTCTGACACGCAGCGGGGTTCAGAAGTTTATTTACACCGGATCATCAACGTAACAACAGAATTCATACTTGACGAGAGACAATTCCAGTACTATAGTTACTGTAATATGAGCAGACGGGATATTATGCGATAATAGCTTTAAGTGTGCTATCAGCACGGTCAACAGAGTGATCGTCCATTTAATAGTGTCGTTGTCGGTAGTGGATGAGCATATCGAAATATATAAGTAGTAGCAGTGTTCATGGTTCTGCAGACCTAAAAGTTTCCACAGCCACTTATGAAATTAAGTGCGAGATGACACAGTTGTACTTTGCTGGCTACTAGTACCGCCCAATTTCTTGTGAAACCAAAATAAGGCAGCCCCCTGACCAGCGTCTATCAGGGAATTAAGATTACTGAGTTGGACCATGCAGTAATAACGCAATGAAGAGCAAGCGCAAAACTCAGAACCTGTGTTAGACCATGTGTTCCACCTTCTTATTGGCCAAGCCTACTGTCTGACAGCAAACAACAACTGGTTGGTCCCATACTATAGTCTGGTATAGTTAATCACAATGTCATGTCTGACTACGCTGACCCATGCTCGAAGTACTGCCTACCCAGCTCCTGGGTTTCAATATTTAGCTCCTCAATTAACAGAGATGTAAAAAAGTCGGAGACCACCAAAGGCCGATCACAGCATCAAATAGACGGAAGGAAACGAGGATGCCGATTGCAAGCGCTTGATCCTCGGCGGTCGGGGCGCTGGCCTGCATGAGGATGCGCGGCACAATGAGCAACGTCCCGATGCCGATACCTGCGATGATCTGGAAGCTCGCCGTCATCGCTTGCTCGGTGTCCCGGTGCCACATTGCGAAGAGTCCCACACCAACCCTCAGAGAGACCCAGCCACCCCGGATCTCCCACCGGTAAGTGCGGATGTAGTCCAGCGCTCAGGCAGAAATGCCCGTGAAAGCCAGGAGCACGCAGCAGAAGTGGAGCATTGAGATCGCCGACCGTAGTGGGGTCTCTAGATAGACAGACTGGAAGAACAGGGCCAGTACATCAGAAGAATGTACGGTGTGAGACCGTGAATGAAACTTCCAATGAGTGCCATCTGGGCAGTACGCTAGCGGAAGATACGGTATGGGAACACAGGAGATTGTGGCCGGGACTCATAGATAGGGAAGGCAACTAGGACCAGGAACCCGAGCACCAAGGGTAATATGGTTCGCCACGAGGACCACGGGTACATATTTCCGGCCCAGCTCAGGGGCAAAGCGAAAACAGTGCAGCCAACCGCAAAGACCATGATCCCTACCCAACCAAGTAATGCCAGTTGCGTGCGGAAGGATTTACTGATGAATAGGCTTGAGACGCACGAAGAAATAGTCCAACACCACTACAATTGCTATCACTGGCAAATTGATCAATCCAAGCTACCGCCAGTCAGCATACTCGCTGAACAGTGCCCGCAGGATGGGCCCCAGGAGCCCCAGGACGATTCCAGGAGCCACGGGTAGCGAAAAAAGACGAATATATGTAGCACGCTCCTGCAGAGTGATCATTTCCGCCGCAATAACCTCACTTAGCACGTCTAGGCCTCCACCACCAATTCCCTGAAGGATGCGGACTAAAATCAACACAGACATGCTCCGGGTCACGCCGAGAACGACAGTTCCAACAACAGAAATGAAGAAAACTGCATAAAGCACAACCTTTCGTCTGATAGTATCGACCTCACTGATGCGTACTGGCTGCACAATGACAACAGCGAGGATGAAGGAGATGCTGGCCTAGAATGTGGTGAGGGTCTTGCCCGCAAGTTCACTGGTCATGGCTTAGGAGAACATAACCTGAGTATGATGTCCCATGAACGTCGAGGAGAATATATCAGTAGCCATTCTACATTAATGACAATCGCTGTAGTAGTTGCGTCAAGTATAACTAGCAAAGTCATAAGCAGGAGAGCGAGAATCCCAGGTAGAAAAACCAAGGTTTCTGGCGGCCATTTGCACCTCAGTGGCCACGGGCGGAGACACATTTAATGTGTCCAATTAATTTGATTTCTCTTGGCCAGGAGGCGCTTGCCCTTTAGGATCAACAGCTGAAGTATGATCGCAGCATTCCGACAGCGGGAACTGGGACATGTGGGCGGGAAGGGCTGAACAACAAAAACCATATGGAGCGCCGGGGAAGGTATGGACAGTTCCTACGCCATAATCTGTATTTTAACAGTTAGATGAATTGTGATAGACTGTAGAGTCATATTATGAACCCAAGTCGGTCTTAGGACTGCGATTGGGCGAGCTGCGCAATGCTTATCACGAGCTAAGAAGCCTAGTAGAAACCATGCATCGGTGTCCAGTTTATTCCCGTTGTCTATTATTAAAACCCTATATGACATATATGGCCCAATCCCCTTCCGCCTTCTCCCGCTACGTCAAAGAGCAGCTAGACGCATTGTTTCTACCTCCTCGGATTGTTGGATTTCAGTATACACGGGCTCTATTTTTAATTAATGTCTCTGCCATGCTGACAAGACGGTACTAATAAACCCTAATAAAACCCATCAGGTCTGGAAGAACCATGTTGGCGTTGTTAACCCGAGGGCACTACTGAAAGGGTCTATTGAAAAGTCCCTGTATCTGCCAACACTCATGGAATTGACTCATCTGTGCATGTTGCGATCTGATCCCGAGCCAAGCTTGCCCCATTCACAGATTTTCCACTTAAACCTTGGCGAATCGACTCATTCAATTGAAATTTCCCTATAAAAAAGGAAGCAGAAGAATGAGAAGAAGGAATGCCTTGCTTGAATCGATGCCCGAGTAAGGTACCTGTCACCGGTCCCAGCACCCCCTGCCGCCGCTGCTATCTCTGTTATATCCGGCACACCGAAAAGAAATTATGTCTGGAAAAGTAGATGTTGTTAAAATCCTTCGTGATGGAGGCATATAGATGAGAATGTACTCGTTTGTTAAGAGAATTGATAAATCTTAACTGCTCAATGCACTTGCGCACAGCCGTACAGACCTCCGTGTTTTGGAGGTGGGGTCTGGGACAGGCGCGCGGGTCAGCAATCTCGCCTCGACGCACTTAACTGTGCAGTAAAAATGTTCCCCCCCAGATACTTGATACGAATGTGAAGCGGCGTGGGGAAAAACAGTGTTGGGAACGTTGAAGAGGGTGGGTGGAGGTAGAGATGGCGGGGTACGGTGGTCAGTGTATGTAGCAGTATAATTTAATTTCACCAACTCTGAGAGAATCATTGACCGGTATTCTCTCAAATTGGTAGGCGTTGGCGACACTACACCATGTTTGTTTGGTTCTAATGTGGGGTGGAATGCCTCAGATGAGGGGAATGAATCGTTTTCACTTCAAGAAATACTCCGAAGTTGGATACTGGTCCACCACCACCCACGTCTCTGTTGAACACGATGCAGAGGCCCAAATCTTATTAGATTGGTTAACCCACAATTGAGTTTTGTTCTGGTCCTCCGCGGACACGGTCGTTCTCCGGAACCGGTCAGTATAAGCTAAGAGAAAGGCACATGAACGACATCGTATAAGTCTATTGTGTGTCAGGTGGTTACACTCCATATGCGCCCCGCAATAAATGTAAATTTCCAAGGAACGCAAGAAATTGGGGGCGGGGAGGCCAACAGGCTCGTAGAAGAAAAGGAACCATCCGTCCTCCCAAACGTAGAACCGCCTTAGCACTAGGTCTACCATGAACTGGGAATTGTGTCTCACGATAGGCTCCGTCTTAGAGGGGCCTAGGCCTCGTTCCATTCCTGTATCAAATGATTTGGGTTACTAGATGTGGCCATGCATATAAAAGACATATCATTTCTGACATCATCGCATTTGCCGTGACAATGAAGCGAATATGTTTGAGTCCCCACCACAGTCATGCTCATGTCGCTCGTAGATGCAGTCAATGATGGTAATTGATATAGTAGATGAGTAAGTCCGTCAAGGAAGATGAATTGGCAGTCTTGGATTGACAATGCAGACGATACCAGCGAGCCTCTGATGTAATACTTAGACTGACATCCCTTCTCATACACCATTGTAATGCAGAACCAGCATCCGAGAGAAACACATGGGCCAAAACAAACCATTCGGTGTCTGCTGGATTCAATGCTTGGCCAAGACCTACTTGTACGCGTTTCCCGTGCGGAACAGCCATGCGCCTCCCATCAGCGTGGCATGAGGACGCCACCCTTGCTGCTATGGCAGAAGTTGGACTGGCTCAGAATCTTGCGTATTTCCCGAGCCTGAGCGGGTGTTAACCCGCCAGCAATATCTGCGCATGGAGAAGAAGACCCAGGGCCCGGTGCGGAGATCCCGCTTGGCAAAGCGGGTACCACTGAGTGATACCCTTAATAAGACCTCCCTTACTACTCCCAAATCTAGCCATTCAGGAGTATCTGTGATAATATCTTAACAACATTCTGAGTTTCACATAGCGTACAATTGGTTTTTGCTCCTGGGGCGTGTATTTAGGCCTGTCTGACTTCATGTTTAGAGCATACTGAGCCTGCCATTGCGATGTGACGTGTTTGTAGACGGGCCTAGAGCGACGTAGTCCTTCCTTTCCAGTATAGCCGGCACTTTGCCATTCAAAGTTTTCTCCTCAGATGTGTTCATCCTCTAGGATCTACAGAGCTGACTGTCCATGGTCTAGAAGCTTCCAGTATCACACTTCACGCAGAGTCCCATTGGAGAGGATATAACGCCTTTTCTGGGTTTCCAGCAACGGATTCCAGACTTCTGAATGGCATTGTTCTCGGGAGGGTTCCAACAAAGGCGGGTTGGGCGGGGTACCCCCACACGAGACTGTAATATAAGGTTTATAGTTTTGCCGCCAGCAGAAGATTCCAGACCGGAAATACGAAGCCGCTCTATCATAATAATTCAATGCAATAAGTCTGTAAGTGCTCTCTTTGGAGCAATACAAGGAAATGACAGCTACTCGCCCGACGAGCATCGTCCCACTAATACGAGTTTGAGTACAATTCCGAATTATATGTATGGCTCGTATGTAAGCATCTTATGGAACAAAGAATGCAGTTGGTGGAGTTCGAGAAAAGATCATTTGTGTCGTTCATGATTAGGTTTCGCAATCCATGGGGGTATCTTCGATCTTTGAAGATATGATTTTGACAACCCATGGTTCGTACGCCGCACCTCACCTTATTCATTGAAGCTTCTGACTTCGGAACTTAAATTTAGGATTCCGTTTTCATAACCCTAAATTTACATGTGTTTGTTCTAGATCCTCTAGCCTTCGGTGTTTATTGCTCGTCTCAAATGACTAGCCAGCCTCATACTATAAATGACTAGCCAGCCTCATACTATAAATGACTAGCCAGCCTCATACTATAAATACCATGGAACATCCTGTCTCAATTGATATTCTTTTGCACACTACACAATCTACTCATAACAAGTATCTCGTTCACTAGTTACAAATATATCTACCACCCAACATTAAGATGAAGGTCTTCTACACTCTGTTGCTTGCAGCCCTTGCTGGCTCCGTGACTGCTTCGCCTGTAGCAAACGGTGGATCGTACAAAGACGTTCAAGGTATACAAAGACACCTTACTCAACATCCCTCTGTTCCGCTAACATTCCACGAGGTCATTATCATAATTATGATGATCATCAATGCACCAGGGTAGACCGCGACTGTAAGAAGTGGGACCCCCGGGAGTGCAAGTGTCTTGATAAAGATGGACACAATTACCGCCGGCAAAGTGCAAGCATCACCACACCGCCAGCAGCGTCAGATACCAACACGAATGCTAACGCAAACACCAACGCAAACACCAATGCTAATACCAATGTTAACCAAAATACCAATGCTAATACTAATACCAATACCAATACCAATGCCAACACCAACCAGGCAACCACTTCGCCTACTTCGACTACAACGGTTCCTACAACTACCTCAACTTCTACCTCGACTTCAGCATCAAGCCAGGCAACTAGTACCAGCACGAACAGCAACACCAATACCAATACCAACACTAACACCAATGTCAATGTCAACACCAATAACAACGTCAATACCAATATCAACAATATTAACAATGCTGCACCCGCTACAGGTGGCGGATCGACTGAAGGAGGGGTTGGCGGAGGCAGTGGCAATCCCTCTGATTATAGGTGCCACGGACAGTGGTGTCCTAACTACTTTCCAGGTTGTGAGATCTGGGACTGGGATCACTGCAGGTGTGGAGGCCGCTTCTGTATCAACTTCGACACTAACTGCCGTAACTGGGACTGGGACAGTTGTTCATGCAGATAACGGACACATAAGGTAGGACATCTAATATACTGGTGCTCAGTCATTACAGCTTGCTGAAAATAATACTAACAACATAGAGATCGAAGGAAGTTTCTTGGCTAGTTATTGAAGGAAAGGGTTTGTTTGTTTTCATGTCATTTCCACGGGGTCGAAAAAGGCAGCAACTTAGGACTATGACTTCATAACCTAAGTGTCTATGTGGTATTGGGTACAACACCCTGAACCGATCATGTTTATTTCTTCAAAAATCTCACATAAGGGTTCAACACCCTTACTGCTTAACAAGGTCTGCAATTTAATTAGGTCCTTAGGCAGAATGTCAATGAACAGGATTATTGCTTCCAACTCATTATTGTCACTATAAGGTAGCTGGTATAAATATATATTGGTAATGAAGTGTTAGAGGCGAGCCATACCTAGTATTAGATCACCGGCTCTATATACAAGAAGGCTATTATGATGGCATTGAAGCGACGTGACTGGGGCACATAGTTTTCTTTGCTTTGTTAATTATATATATAATCTACTTTGATTTATTTTATTTAGTTATTCACTGTGATTTATTATTTATATATATTCTACCACACTGCTTTCTTTATTACATATTTAACATCTTTTTAGCTAGTAATGGACATCTAGTTTCTTTAATCTTATATACCTTAGAGGAGAAGACCAAGTAACTATTAATCATTAGAAAAATATATAAAAACTATTTATAAACAAGTTCTTTCTATTATTAACATAGATATTAGTAGTAGTAATATGACCAGGAAGCATAGTAATACCATGTAAACATTCTTCTATTACTAGTAAGTTAAATAACTAGCTGGTATACCTGCCCATCTGAAGAGAATTATTATTATGAAGAAACATTTATATTGATATTTTTAGTACGAGAAATATCTATCAGTCAGCATACTTTTCTTTATCTAATAATTTAAGAGCTGTATACAGTACATCATAGCAGTTACAAAAAAAAATCTATATCTCAGAAGTATATAATATTAATTATACATATATATAATTGTATAAGCTATAATAAAACCCTAATAATAAAAATCTACTGCGATCTGCAGAATGCGTTGGAAGGGATACTTCAGTCATCTCTCAGCTTGATTTTACTAGTACGTCCCTTGTATACAACAGACCCGATTACTCTAGCTATCCAATTTCGCCCGGGAATGCTTCCCTTGTTTCCTCACACCGGACACAGAAGCCACCTAAGCCTCTTTACCATATCGCCAAACATGGCCTCTAATATATTCGTGTTTACCAGGGAATGGTGGCCCCATGCTATGCGACGAGATTGGGTGACTCGGTGAACGTGAGTCCTTAGAGCACCTTGACATATCCCACGACCGACTCCTCCATCGACATGTCCCCGGCGCGCCCCATATCCGCCGCCACCCAACCAGGGTGCACCGCGACGCAGGTGAACCCTTTCTCGCACAGTTCATGGTGCAGTTGGATGATCATCATGTTACCCGCCGCCTTGGTCAGCGAGTAGGAACCGACGGAGCCGTGGTCAAAGATGCTCTGCTCCTGCAAGGAGCCGCATAAGGAGGGAGTCAACACAATATGTCGGGTCGCACGCGCGAGCAGCGCGAGAAGGAACGTTTTGAGAGTGATGGTGGGCACATTGAGGGGTTTGTGTCAAAAGTGTGTATCCGTGGCTGAATGGCGCACACTAGCTATAACATGGTGGTCAGGGTTCGCGCTGAGCTGTTGCACCAGCTCGCGACCGATTCCCCGAGAGGCTCCGACCACCGGGATAATTTTTTGATCCATTTTATGCTTTGACCTCTGGTTCCCTAGGTTGTGGTTGTGAAATGAAAGGTCAAAGAAATGACGTGCCGAATCTGTCTATAGAAGGGTACCTCAATTTACTTATGTAGTGATGATTTATTCTTTCTCCTTCTTTCTCCCCACATCCTGGGGGCAAATTCTGCTTAAATTCGTGTTATTTCCATATGTTCCCCTCATGTTATTCTTCTTTGGTTCTTGAGCCAAACAGCAAATGACCAGCGTGACCGAGAATTACTGCACCGGATACGCTGCGGTGGGGATTATTACCGGCGGCCCGATAATATCCACACACAGCGTCCCGCAGACTATTACCCATAGTGTCGTACAAGGCCGCATCGCCGAGCAACCGAAGATCGGCCTTCGGGTGTTGATGCAGGAGTAACGGGTGTCTGTGCATTTCCATGCCTTTCGGTATTGCCAGACAGGTGGTTCCATCCTTTCTTCGCTCCTAATAACCATACTTTGGCTATATAGAAGACACCTATATATCTTTAGGTCAACCCTCGCCGCCTATATAAAGCATAGGTACAGCACCATACATCTACTGACTTTCCTCTCATCCCAGTACTAAACAAGCATCATAACTGAACAAATCTCCACTGCATTCCTCTCTTAGACAAACATGGCCACCCAAAAAAATATTGCCATCATTGGAGCGGGTCTATCCGGTCTCGTACTCGCCTTGTCCCTCCACCAACAAGGGATCGCCAGCCAGGTCTACGAAGTCCGCGATGCACCCCTGGACATTGGCGGCGCCATTACACTTTCACCCAATGCCCTAAAGATTCTCAAAAAACTCGGTATCTACGAGCCTGTTCTCCGGGAGGGCTACCAATGTGAGGCCTTCCACTTCCGCACCCAGGATGGCCAGCCTTTCGACGACTACGAGATCGGCAGCGTGGAGAAGTATGGATATCCAGGGCTGCGTATCTACCGCAAAGTCTTGATCAGGGAGCTCCAGGCTGAATGCAGGAAAAAGGGTATCCAAGTCACCTTTGGAAAAAAGTTCGCGCGGATTCTGTCTGAGTCTGACACCGCGGTTACATGGGAGTTCGAGGACGGCACGAGAGGAGAGGCAGACAGTCTTGTCGGGGCAGATGGGATCCATTCACGCGTGCGGTCCTATCTGCACCCGGGCCTGGAGCCCGACTTCATGAATGTACTGGCTATTGGCGCCGCAATCCCGACAAGTCGAGTTCAGCTTCCGCACGGCTGGACCTTTCCTGTGACAATCATGAGCCAGTGCCACGGGGCATATATTCTCGCCCCAAATCTCTCTGATGGTTCCGAGCTGGTGATTGTAAAGCAGCGACGGATTGAGGAACATGATCGCGCCGGCTGGAAGAAGATCCTAGACGACAAGGAGGGCAACATTGCGTTCCTGCGTGAGGGCGCCGGTGCATTCCCAGACGTCGTCAGCCAGGCCGTTGAGGCCATCACGCCGGACTCAGTCATGATATGGCCCTTTTATCAGGTTCCTAAGATGGATCGATGGACTTCCGCGCGTGGTCGTGTTTCCATCCTCGGCGATGCGGCGCACGCCATTCCGCCATCCTCGGGCCAGGGCGCCAACCAGGTCTTTGAGGATGCATATACCTTCGCCCTCATGCGCGCTCGGTGCCAAGAAGCGACCACCTTGACCTCCGTGCTGTCCAAGTGGCAGCGGGGTCGCCAGGAACGCATCGACCGTCTGATTGTCCTGGCCCGGCAGATGAATGTCCGTCGCTTGCCGGAATCAAGCAACCCCGGAGCCGAAGAGGTCATCGGCGGGGAGGACTTCAACATGGGATGGCTTTTGAACCCTGATCTCGAAAAGATGGTGGACGAGTGGCTGGCTATGTGAAGTTCCGGGCCCTCTTCCTCTCATATTATTTCGCGCGTGGTTTGGGTTGTTCCTCGGGGGCAAAACCCGAGCTGAACGTCGGGATTGAAGGGAAATGGCCTTCTGTCGGCTATGCTCTGAATAAAGACGGCTTGTGATTATCTTGACGTATAAAAAAGAGTCAATCACTCCAGTATATATGTGATTCAGACTAGGAAAACTAAGTAATACAGAAATATTAATGATGAAAAAGAATGAGACAATAGTAATCCCAATAATAAAGATGATATTATGCCATAGGAAAATATACTGTCTATAGTCTAAATCGGATGCTGGATGACAAACTTCTGCATACTAGCCTTCCCAGCCACAGCATCGCGCATGGCACGCATGCCCGCCTCGCCGCCCTGCACTACTGCTACATTGGGCATCCTGTATTCCGTGCCGTACGCGGCGATGGCCCAGCGGGTCACGCGGTCGATGCGGTCCTGCATCTGTTGATCTGGGGCGTGTCGGAGCACGGTCCCGTCCGGCAGGGTGAAGTCGACGGCCACGTTGCGACAGGCAAAGGTGCGAGTCCAGAGTCGGGTTGCCTCCTTTGCCGCGGGGACGGGCGAGGTGAACAGCGCGTTCACGGTGGCGTGATCGACGCACGCCTCGCAGAGGGTCGTCGAGGAAGCGGGCGGGCTGTGGGCGACAACCGCGTCCAGCACGCGCGCTAGGGGCCGGGAGGTGTATTTCGCCAGCGCGGCGCGGATTTTGCTGACGACGTCTGGGTCCGCGTAGTCGAAGCACTCTGTAGCGCCGAGCTGGCGCAGGGCCGCGTGGTTGTGCGGGGAGGCCGTTGTGAGGATAGGAGTGCATCCGGCCTTGGCGGCGAGTTGGATGGCCGCCGTGCCGACGGCACTGGCGCCGCCCCAGATTAGGAGGGGTTGGGTTTCAGGATTATCGCCGCCGGACGCGTCCAGCGAGAGGTGGAGCTGGTTGAAGAGGGCGTCGGCCGCTGTGTGCGTTACTACCATGAAGCATGCGGCCTCCTCCATCGGCATGGCGGCTGGCACGTGGTAGACGAAATGGCGGGCGCAGTGGACGTCCTGGTGCGCTCCGTACTGCTTGGGCTTGTCCAGCGCGGGCGCCGCGAAGCCCATCACGCGATCGCCAGCATGGAATTCCCCTGCGCGCTCGGCGCCAGTCGCTATCACCGTGCCAGAGAAGTCATACCCGGCCACTGTGTTGTTGAATCCCACCCGGGCATGCCCTAAATCGGCTGGGTTGATCCCAGAGAATTCGACCTGCACCAGCACTTCGTTCGGGAGAGGTGCGTAGATCTCATCGACGGGCGCGATATACGGCTCGCCAGTGGTATCAGTGAATATTGCGCGAGTGGCAGGCATTGTGAACGGTGGTTGAATGGAATTGAGAGGTGGGATTGAGAGCAATAGCGTTGGGAATTTTCTAGTGATGGCTGACTGCAGAGATCGTCTTAAAGAACAGTTCGTGCCGGTATACGGAAAGTGTAGGATATGCATAAACCTTTATGCATTCGTCTTTTCATCCTCCGTCCGAGGGAGAAGTGCAAGCCAGCGGGGTATGCGCTCACAGACCGAACATTCCTGTCAAATGGCGGCGTTTTCATCGAGTGATCTGCGTCGCAGTTAAACGCCCTTGGCTTGCAGCTTACCGGACCGCCTAGCACCCGATCCGCCGACAAGCAATCGGTCCCGGCAGGTATTAGAAAGACCACCGCCCGGCATGACACCCACCCATGGACTGTCAGGTTTCACAAACCATTGTCCACTGTCCGGAAGTATCGAGTGTAAATTTCTACAAGTCCAAACAAGGAAATGTCCCCCTCTCAGGTCCTCGATTGCCCGGCCGGGTTTGCCACGCAGGTTACCCTCGGCCCCACGACATCCGGAACAGCAGAGGAGTACGAACTAGTGTTCGCGCGCCGAGCCCTTTCCAAGATCAAGGCCCGGCTTGGCCTGGAAGCCACCGAACGACTCCTGCAACCCGACATTGACGAATCCAACGCCTTCTGGGGGCAAGTGCTGGCTGATAACTGTACCAATGAATTCCGGCCCGCCCGCGTCGAGCTAGCCATCAACGGGCTGTCCATGGACGAGTTCCTGCCCTGGTTCCGCGAACGGTGCCAGAAGCGCGTGCCCTGGATGCTGGCAGCGCAGCCCGAGCACTGGGTCGTGGTGTCGCCTGCTGCTGCTGCCAATGCGAATACTAATGCTGATGGTGGCAGCAGCCCCGGCTACCACGAAAAAGTCATCGAGAACCTGGGGCCGTGGATCTCGCGCTTCTTCATCACCTTCAGCCCGCCCTCCCACCCGTGTCAGCTCGGCGACCTCAACGCCGAAGCGTACCCGCTCCAGATGACAGGATACGGCCATACGGACGACGGCCAGATCAATGGCTACGTCCTCCACCAGTTCCGGCCTCATGCCAACAGTGTGGGCTTCGACGCTAACCTCTGCATCTATTTTCCTGCCTCGGCGCCAGAGGTGCTCTTCGAGCAGCATCGGCAGCACCTCGTTGTTGAGTTCACTAACTGGGCGCGACACTGCTACCGGGATATCAAGGGAAAGACTTCTTGAGGTTTTAAGGGCAGTGTGTGCTAGCTGGGGTGAGCATACTTAAAATTGCTATTTGCTGTTTAGTCGTGATGATTCGTGATGTCAATTTGGTCAATCACAAACTCATATCATAAGATGAACAATATAACTACTGTCACGTACGTATGTACAGTACATACCGAGAATCTGGCGTGTGCCGGTGCGGAGGATTTCAGTTACAGGCATCTTCTATTCCGTATTGCATCATAAGTTCCGATAGAACCCGTGGACCACATTGCGCATTGCGAGTTCCACTTCTGCATCCTGAAAGGTAACTTGTCGAATAGTTTGAGTTGAGTGAGTAGCTTGGGACAAGGATACCGACCGATCAGAGTATTGGACGTACTGTCCTGTGCGATATCACGGAAACCGGCCAGGTGCCCCGCCAAGCATCTATCGGCCCGCACAGGGACCGAGCTCTGCTGAAGAACCCCAGAACCAGGAAGACCCACCGCCGCTCCGTCTCATCCGGTCCCACTTGATCACTTACCCATAACTGTACAAAGAGGATTTCCGGTTGGTTCCAACTAGCAGGTGATAGAGAGTAGTGCCATCATGGCCAGACCGATCCTAAATCAGTACATCTCGCCCAACGGCCTTTTATTCGTTTTTGTTTTTGTTTTTCAACACTCCTCGCCCCAGTTATTGGCTTATGGCGACCCGTAACCCGTAGAGGATTTCACGACGTTCGGAAATAGTAGAATCCATGTTGGAAGCATTAGGCATGATCTGGCTCAAAAGAAGTTAGCTCAGAGATGTGTTAGCTGATTATGCAGTTCGGGCAGGAACTCGTCGTGGTCATGGAGAACCGCCAAGGGGACTTGCGTTGGGAAGTGATCATGAGGAGGTCCCGCCGCGGGAAGCGGGGGATCTATAATTGAGAGCAGAATATCCTGTTCAAGCCCTTCTGTCTCGAGGGGCAAGTAAAATGGCTCTCGGATGTTTATAGTGAGCATGATCTCGGACAGGTGGCGGGTCGCGAAGCCTTGGAGCTCCTTCGCGGTTGTGTCTGGTACAAGGGGTCTGGTAGTATCTGCGACGGGCCCCGCATCCGGGATCGGAATGGAAGCACGCTGTATTAATGGTAGAAGCTAGTTCCACTGCGTCGGGGTATAAAGTAAGAAAGCAGGAAGTGCGGAAAGGGAGCGGAAGCTGGCTTACAATCACCTGAAGTGGGGCCCAGGAGCACCATAGGAAGTTCAAGAGGTTAACGTTCGTGCAGACACAAGTGATGGCCAGATGGTAAGCGGAACCTGGAATAATATAATCAACTCAGCCCGGACCCATATGATACTCAGTCTCTTACCCGCCATCGACCTCGCTCTCCCCGTCTGGCCCCTCGCAAACCAATAGACAGACAGATGAAATGAGGCCAGCAGGTGCTCCACGGGCTGCGATAGCGTGGAAGTTGGCGCCAACGGGAAACAGTAGTTGGAACATTGATATACTTGAGTGTTGAGAGGCTTGAGTCTGTCCGTTGAGCCAAGATTGACCTCGACTTGAACATATGTCAGAATCGACGAAACTGCACGAAGACCCTGCAAGAGTCCTCAAGGACCGATCCCCTTTGTTAGTCGGACAAGAGGCTTTCCTTGTGGACGAAGACATCGGCAGTAATGAATCGAGAAATGTAGCACTTGAGTAGGCTCAAGCCTGTAATTGCGGCGGCGAAGAGTTGTTCTGAATGGAATTGGGGTGACTTTGCTATTAGAATGGGGTCTTACATGCAGCCTAAAAAGGCGTTGAGCCTGCTCACCTGTCAACCTGCCTGCGCTCAACGAGGCGCTGTCGTCGCCATCGCTGCACGGGCAAGGCACTACGATCTGGTGGCGAGGGATGGCGAGGGATAGTGGCAGTATGCCTCAAAATCCGAACAATGCCGGTAGTGTGGTAGCTCCCGCGAACATCGGCGCTTGAGAGGAGATTAGACAGTCCGCACATCGAAGCTTGGTCAACGAAGAGCATAACGGTACCTTGGCAACTTACCGTGTGTTGCCTACATCGGCCGCAGGCAGTTGAGCGGATTGTCATCATTTTAATAAATTTCACTTGTCTCCAGCGCGATTTAATCTCCATTAATTGGTGATACTGGAAAATCTAAGAGTTATACTGAGTAGCTACTGATATTCACAGGTTTAACACCGGATAGACGGGCGACAGCGGCTCGGAAAATCCATATTTCCGCCCAATTGAAATCTGTGCTGTACCACCGTAATCTAGTACACAATACTGAACCATACAATACTGGAAATTGCAGGATTGTTACGGATATGCTCTCCATTGCCCTCTATGCATAACCAAGAACTATCTTCCAGCTTCTCAACCCAAAATGCCCTTTTTCATGTCATTTGTTTACCACGGCACCGTTGATCCATTCCATGCAACAAATTTGGGGGAGTCATCCGGCCTGAGTCCCTCGAGCGCCTTGACATATCCGGCCACGGATTCCTCCACAGGCATGCCACCGGGACCCCCCATGTCAGTGGCAACCCAGCCAGGATGGAAAGCCGCACAGGTAAAACTTTGATCCCGCAATTCATGGTGAAGTTGAATCATCATCATGTTGCCCGCCGCCTTGGCGACGGAGTATGGCCCGAGAGACCCATGGTCATATTCACTCTGTTCCTGCATCGAGCCACAAGACGAGGAGGTAAGCACGATCTGGCGGGTCTGGCGGGCGAGAAGAGCAGGCAGGAAGGCTCGGACAACCTGCAAGGGTCCCTTCACATTGACGTCGAGGTATGTGTCGAATTTCTCGCTAGGACAAGTCAGGAGTTGGTCCCGCTCAGCGAAGGCCCCGTTAATGACCAGGGTGTCAAGCTCAGGGATCTGGGACGCAGCTGCAATAACCGACTCGGGGTTTGCCTGGTCCAAGATAATACTTGAGACATTGGATGCGGGTGAGTCGACGGGCTGCATGGCTGGTTGGCGCACGCTGGCGATGATGTGCTTGTTGGGATGCACGCTGAGTTGCTTGACGAGCTCCCGACCAATGCCCCGTGAGGCACCGACAACCAAGATGATCTGTGGAGACATGTTTTTGTGGATTAGTAAGGTTCTGTGATAATTTGGGCCTTGGTCCGTTACTATAGCCCTTTATATGTGAAGGAGACAACACGAGCGGGATATCTACCATGGCCGGCGCAACGGTTAGCACCATGCCTTCTCTAAAGTCCAGTCTGCTATACTGAGCCCAAAAACCCTTGCCGGTATAGGCTTTTATCGGTCCCTTACCAGGACAAGGTGGGTATCGGGCCGCTTCGCCGAACACCGAGAGGCCGGCAAAAATGCATAATGAGTGGGGCTTTACACACCCGCATCCGCATGCCGCTGGAGTCGATGCCCAAGAAGTACATATTTATCTGTTCCGGAGGTGAAGGAGATTACTCTTTTATGTCAAGAACATTGTCTAATTACCTTCTATATCAGTTTCCACCAATCCCTCGAGTCGGTCTCATCCAGCATCGGCCATTTCTATGAGACCTCTACCGCAAATGGCCTCGCAAGACAACATAGCAATCAACGGGGCCGGTCTCGCAGGGCTCTGCCTCGCCTTGTCCCATGAGCAGCAGGACATCCCGTGCCATATCTACGAGCTCAGGAAGGCGCCGCTGGATATCGGTGGTGCCATCACCGTCTCGCCAAATGCCCTCCAGAACCTCGACAAGCTCGGTGTCAACAACTCTCTTCTGCGACAGTCCGTGTGACATGTTTCACTTCCGGAAGCAGACTGGCGAGCCTTTTGACACCTACGAGATCGGCAGCGTGGCCAAGTACGGCTACCCCGGCCTGCAGATTCATTGCTATATCTTGAACAAGGGGCTCCTCACACAATGCACGCAGAAGGGAATCCCGATCATGTTCGGCACAATATTTAGCCGGATTGTATCAGAGTCCGAGGCTGGTGTTACCTGGGAGCTCAACAACAGTACGGTCGGACACGTGGGCAGCCTCGCCGGCTGGATAGCGCTCATGACTGACCGGAAATAATATATCAAGTTTCTGCGTCAGGGCGTGGCCGAGTTCAGCCTGTACATCAGCCAGGTGATCACCGCGGTCATAGAGAAGTCTGTATCCATCTAGCCCTACTATCAGGTTCTGAAAGTAGATCAATGGACCTCGGAAAAAGACCGTGTCTCGGTCCTTTTCTGATATAGCCCGTGCCATCCCGCCGTCTTCGGAACAGGGCGCTAACCAGGTCTTCGAAGACTACTATACCTATGCCCTTATGCACATTCGGCGCGGGGCTGCCTCTCTCGATACGGTGCTGTTAAAGTGGCAGCGCGGTCGGCAGGAGCGGATCGACCGCCTCATTATCCTCGCGGAACAGATGAATGTCCGCAGGTTGCCCAAGGCGAACGATCATGGACTCGCGGAACTCGCTGGTACGGAGGACTTCAATATGGAGTGGCTGTTTAAACCTGAGTTGGATAAGATGGTCAAGGCGTGGCTCGCTGTCTGATTAGGGGCGTTTGGATACTGAAGACCACTGCAGTGAGACAGACCTGCCTGTCTTCGTTCTAGTCTGTGATGATGTCCTGTAAAAATTTTGGATTTAACCCTATATTACAAAGAGTCTCGTTTACTAAATCTATATTTTTTTACTACGTTCCGTATCAATCAAAAGATGATTTGATAATCTCAAGATTTTCACATTTTACAAATATAATATAATTATACTGCGCACATACTTGCTCTCCGTGAGAGTAGTAGGAGACTAAAAGTGATACTTTAGATATATTTCTTTATTAGTTATCTGAGCTGCTTACCCCGGCCTAGACTAATCAGAAGAAGAAGAAAAAGAAGAAAACAACAGCCAGCTTCATTTGTTTTATAATATTTATAACCATGGATACCTTCTTTCAACAAGTGAAGCCAAAAACAGAGTATCTGGATGGTTAATAAGCTGATTCCAAGAGGCAAGCTTTCATAGGAAGGTCATGCTCAACAAATTCGGCGGACTTATTAGTATTACTATGTCTTTATATAGTTTCATTCTTTATGCTTAATAATAGTAGCTTTAGATAATTATTTATTTAATTATGGTAGTTATAGAATACTCATCTGCACTTTCTTATAGATAATTCTGTATTATTATTTAACTTTATTTTTGTTCTCCTGTCCAAGACTAGTTATTTCTTAGATAGTCATCAGTCTTATACCCCTCGCCTAGTTTAATGGTAAGTATGCCAGTAAAGCTAAGCTAACAGGAAGAGGGAAGTGATTCTAAGATTTGATAAGAGCCAGCTCTCAGCAATTCAGTACTATTTTTCTTATAGTTTTATCTATCATTAATGATTTTAAATCGAACTTTAAAATTGGGTAAAAATAGTCTAAATATTTTAATTAAGTATAATATTGTTTGAAATACTACTTCTAATTTATATCATTAGATTATCGAGTGATAATCCAGAATGTCGTAGTTTTTAACAATATTTATAATTGATGGACTATTATATTAACAGATGATTCTTTAATAACAATATCTAAATATCTGATAATTGTCAAACTCTAGTGTCCAGCCCTAGGTGGGATAGAAAAGCTGGACTACTACAGTTGGGACCATCAGGATGACATACTAGAATAGTTATAGAAGTCATGAGGTCATCGACAGCCACCCCAGGCCACTCTAATAGGTATAAGACAGTGCTTACTTACTATTAGACTACTGATTACTCAAGTATTAAACCCTAGGTTCGCTTGCCCTGTCCCTGTTAGCTTAGCTTCACTGGTATATATACTATTAAATTAAATTGAGAAGGTATCAGGCTGATAAATATCTAAAAATAACTAATCTTAGATAAGAAAAGAGAAATAAGACTAGATAATACTGTACAGCTATCTGTAAGTTAATATAGATAAGTGTCTATTGCTAAGCTTCAAATTATATAGTTACTTAAAGATAATATGATTAAGCACAAAGAACAGAATTATTTAAGTATATAAAAAAGTTTTTTTATATATCTTTATCTCTTATGTTGCTCTTATAATATGTTATACTGCTGATATATCATCCCATGTTGCTGCCATGTCCTGACTGTTATATTAACATGTTATAGCTTGTCGGTAACATGTTTTGTAGTCATGTAATGTATGGCTGTTCTGGGCATCATCTGCGCAATCCGAGATTCTACTTATTAATAATCTGGATTTGTCTAAGCGCTGCCTTTATCGGTGCTTTCTACCTGGTGAGTCCACCTTACTAGTAGTTAACTAGCAGGGGTCTGTAACAACCTTCTTAAATAATATTAAATAAAGTTCCACAGGTTTTCATAGCTATATGCACAGATTTAATATATCTGAGCTTATCCAATTCTATAGATATCGGCAACCAGCTCAACACATCTAGAGCCCTTACGAAAATCTCTAAAGAAGTTAAGTCTCCCATTAATCCTTTATATAGAGAAATATAGTATATATATACTGATCTTATGTATTAGTTGATCCACCCTTCTTATCATCAAGCAGACTAGAGATACTATAATATATTACCAGATACAGCTCATCTCGAAGGCTCTAATGACTCAATAGGAAATGAATGTTCGCGCGGATTTATGAAAAAGGCCAGCCGTACATCAGCACTATTGATGATGTCTATGCCTGTCTTTCCCCAATCTCAGGTATACTATGACGTAGTATACCTCTGTAAGCAGGGTACAATACTACCTAGTACAGAATATACTGTACCAGGAATAAGTAGATTTTCCTATACCGGCCTGTATAAGACCTGAACTACAGGGCGGCTCCACTTCCTTTATGTTTATTTTATCAGCCCGCACAACGTCCGATTCCCGGCTCCTGATATCCTGATGATCTGACCGTGCCTTAGTTTATACTGCATGTACAGTCAAGCACAGTAAGGTCCGCGTAGATTTGTCCTATATTTCTTAAGTCAATATTATAAATTGAATGCTTTCCGTCTTTCAGGTACTACGGTCCTTTTGGATAAGGAAATTGCAAAAAAGAATATTTTAATAGACTAGTAATCGTCGTCTGGAGAAAGACTTCAGTTAGTAAGATATCTATATATAACTAATAATTCTCTGTACAGACCTTGGAATAATATGACATTCACCACACATATGAGTAAATAAAAGCTCTTGTCTGTAGCCTTGGATAGTCTCTTTATTATATGCTTCAAGCACATGCTTTGTAGCTATATTCTCCTGGAGTTAACGCTCACTAGAATTATCTGTTTGTCGTACGTATCTGTTTATCGTACGAGGCCTTGCTCTGTACGAATCTGTTGGAGTGTTTGCGCAGAGACTCTGTAGTCTTCATCCCGTACAGTATATAGAATCTCTGTATCAGAAAGATATTGCTTAAAGAATAATACCTTGATATAATCATGTAGAGAAGAATCAGTAGTAGCTGTATAATTATACTTGCTGATTTCTTAATGACTTAAGCAACTCTTAATTGTATACTCACGGACTTGTATGTGGTATTTGGCTTCAATAGTGGAAGTAATATCACTTGCAGATTAATTCTGATAGAACAGATTAATAATTTCAGCCTTGTACGGCTCAAGGTCAATGGTTGGACGTACCATGATCAACATCATGATTAGTGAATAAAGCATTGTATTTAGAGTGATGATAAGCATCATATAGCGGTGAGGTCAGCGGTGAGCGTACTTTAACACATGAAATCGTTTTTGCCCGATGGCCGCTTTTGCCCGCCGTACTTGACCATCCCCAAACCATGCCTCCCTCCCCGGCCCTCAACTACCCCTCAGTTTCAAAGTCTCAACCACCATAAGCCCCACCAGCCCGGAACCGCAGATGAGTACAAGCTGAACTTCGCGCGCCGCGCCCTCGCCCGCGTATGTAAAGGCCCGACTGGACCCGCAGGCCATCGAAACGCTCCTCGCACCGGACATCGCCACCACCAACACCTTCTGGCGCGAGACCCTCGCTGCTAACTCCCCATCCCAGGAGTTCAGACCCGCACGGGTCGAGCTCGCCATCACCGGCATCACCGCCGCCGAGTTCCTGGACTAGTTCCGCCACTATGCCGAGAAGGATTCCACCTACATGCTGGCCGCGCAGCCTGAGCACTGGGTCGTCGCCTCGGACGCATCGGGCCACCAGACGGTCATCGAAAACCTCGGGCAGTCGACCTCGCGATTCGCCATCACCTTCGCGGACCCTGCACATCCCTGCCAGCTGGCCGACGTGTACGAGGGCTACCCGATCCGGATGAGTGAATACAGGCGGTCTGATGACGGGGGGGGGGTTTGTTATTGGGTGCGTACTGCATCAGTTCCGGGCACATGAGGATGGCGCAGTCGCAGGGTTTGATGCAAACCTGGGTATTGACTTCCCCGCCCCCGCGCTGGAGGCACTGTTGGAGGCCCATTGGCAGCATCTGGTGGTGGAGTTTACGAATTGGGCGAGGCGGTGCTATGAGTATTCGAAGTGGGGAACACTTGGGAAGAAGGATGTTTGAACCTTTTTTCATTCTTCTTTGAGGTTTGTGGAGTTAGGAAGACTCTTTGTTTGAAACCGATGAGCATGAAGAGGTGCTGTTACGATTGCGGTTGTGGAGTGTGATTGTCTCTTACAGTAAGACCGCGCGATCCTGTTTTCCAGCTCGAAAATCTGTGCGTGACGGCAGGGAGGGGTACAAGAAATAATCCCAACCGTACGTTCTTAAAATCAGAAGAAATTCAGCCCGAGATGATTGAGGTGGTCATGCATTTCAGGTATAACCTCATAAAGCTCATTGGTGGCTGATGTACCGCCGGTACATGGGGCGCTTGGTGATTCGTAGGGTGCTGCTGGAGGTAGTTCGCGTGGGGGACATAAATCGGTACTTCGCGCGGAACTATCGTACCTACTGTCAGGGAGGTAGAAGGGCTCCGCAATATCAACGATAGTCATGATCGGAGAAAGATGCCCCGTGACGTAGTTTTGCAACTCCATCGCTGTCGTTTCATGCAGAAGCGGGATGGGATGGGGTTGACACGCGAAGAATTCGACCTCCGGGACGATCAATGAGGCCTGATAGACCAATGGTAGGAGCTTGTCCCACTGCGCATTCGGGGGTAAATCAAGTCAGTCACGGCAAGATAGGATGAGATGGGCCGAACACACCAGCGTCTGTAAGGGTGCCCATGAGCATTTCATATGGCTCAGAACCGACAAATTCGCCAATACGCATGCCCGGAGAGCATTTTCCAGACCATCACCATTTGAAAGCGGCCTTTGTACCTCGTGATCTCGTAAGTGCACCAGTGCAGCTAGTTGCAAGGAGGCAGCGAGAAAGGTCGAGTATCCGACCACTGGCGGGATTGAGCATGCTTGCTCCCGTGGTGTCATTACCAGCAAGCGGTTCACTGCTTCGGTAAGTAGTAGCATCTGGCGGAAAGCGATGCTGCCAGTAAGCTGTATGAACTCGTGATCGGCTCCATCTCGCTGCTGGCTCTCAAGGTACATGTGGAGATGAGAGACGGCTCGACATTGATGGTATAGGATTTCAGAAATAAAATACTTGCGGGCGCTTTTTGGGCTCGACATTCGCCAAAAGTCCCAGTCAGCCTTGAAAGATTGATAGCAAGCAGTGGTTTGCATATCTAATCTTGTTAATTCTGACAGCATGGAAACCGGGTCGTCGGCCATGCGCAAAGCCGTGATGAATTCACGAACGCGAAACCTATTCCCGGCCGGGCGACCGGTCAACATCGGGTTGAAGCAACGGGATAGGAAGAGAAACGCCGTACCAGCGACCCATGAATGCCAATAATCTAGAGACTACCCGGAGGTCTTCGTCCACATTCTCTGAATGCGGTCGTCTCCCAGCTTGAATTGAGTGCGAAATTTCTCGCACTGTAGCAAAGGCTGGCAGATCTGGCAATTCCACCACCACGCGGGAGTCGACGGTGCCAGGTTCCTGGATAATGCAGCGGATGGACCAGTAGACTCCAAAAACGCTCAAGGCTGTCTGTGGTGAGAGTGCGTCACCTTCAGCCTGTCTTTGCAGAATCCACTGGATGGAATGTTGGAAGGCTGAATCTGGGGATCATGGAATTAGCTAGGTGGTTGTCGGGCGGCGGCTACCACAACAGTAAAGAGTGCATGGGATTACCAACCAGCGATCGACTTAGCTCTGCTTGTCTGACCTTGTGCATACCAGTACAGTGATAAGTGAAAGGAGGTCAGCAATGCCTCCACGGCTTTAAGTTGACCTGTCCCGAAGTCATCCCGACCGTGGTTAACTTCGAGGTCGGGAGTTACCAGCCAACTTCGGGAGTGAGATTCGAGATTTGACCGTGCATTCGCCCTGGGCGTGAAGATGGATGAAGAAAATGCACAAAGACTTCTCAGCAAGGACTTGGGAATGTTCCCCGCTAAGTAGTTTGAGAAGAAGTCTTCCTGGTTGAAAAAGAAGCCCGAGGTGACAAATTGAGAGAAGTAAGACTGAAGTAGGGCTAGTCCGGTGTCGAAGGGCCAGGCCGGTGTGGAAACTGGAATCCTGGGGACAGCCATTAGAAGGGAGTCACCCTCATGAGTCAGAAAGTAATTAAACTGCGTACTGGGTTCCTTGGTTGCGGTTCGCTCTGCGTGCCCATCTCTGCACCGCTAGCAATCTTCGATCCGGTGGCGAGGGATAGTCACAATTAGCGGCAAACTCCTGGCAACGCCGACAGCTGGGGAGCTCCCGGGTACATTTGCGCTAGAAGATGAGCTCCAGATAAGTAGAAAGAAGATGGAACAAGGAAGGCTTACTTTCTGTTGCCGACACCGACGACAGGCAGTCGGGCTGAGCGTCATCGTCTTTGCTTAAGCTTTGCTCAATTGGGGGTCACAATGATGGCATTGCTTTGGACTTCTTTCGACATTGCTTGATACGGCAAAGAGACTACGGTTCTTGATTTGACGACTGCAGACGTGCTGGAAAACAGACTCACTATGTAACTGACTCACAAGGTAAGTACTCCGTACTAATCTGAGTGAGTGGCGTACAGTATCGGCTCGGATTATCCATAGTCCGAACCTTCCGGCATCCACAGGTCTCACAAAAAAGGAAAAAAAAAAAAGAAAAAAAAAAAAAAAAAACCCTCAGCTCATAACGAATTCTTGGAATTTCTCGTTAAAGAGAAGCTTAATTGATCTTAAACCTGGTTCAATCTATTGACTATGCTTTCAACTATCGCCTAATACCCAGAAATCATGGTTAGTGAAACTACTTAACTAGTATTAAAAAATCCAGCTCCTAAATTACTTTCTGCCACATTTCCGCTAGATCAGGTTGAACGGTTAACCGTTGGTGAACTGTTATTTTTCTACCTTGAAACTGACCACCAGTTAACAGTCACGTATAGCTATTCTAATAGCAGTATTTCATATTTATTCACATGAACAGGAAAAACCTTATGTATTCTGCAGAAAAGACCTCCAGTACCTGCAAGCTTTACAACTATTATAATCCTAGTTATATCAAGCAGATAATCCTAGATGGCACTGTTATATTTATATATACTTTAGCCCTGGGAGAAGAGTTCCCCAATTCAGCCTAGGCTCCTCGCCTGATATGCCTCGGTTATATCAGTAATGCTATGGTGCTTTAGGTATGGTATAAATTAGATATTTAAAGATCTAGCTTTCTCTGGAAGTCAAGCAGCCAGGGTAGCTGTCTAAATAGGAGAGTGATTGTGAAACGGCAGTGACAGGGAATGTATCTTTTCTAATTTGTCACCAGTTATGTAAGCAGACTGTCAGTCTCCAGTGGTTAGTGATTTGGATTGTATTGGAGATGTTTGAATGGCCTGTTGAGTGAGAAGAATTGATTATAGTTGAAAGACCAGCAGAGTCTGCAGGAGCTACAGTGTTCTCTATGGTGAGCTCCTGCTGTGGCTGCTTTAGTGGGAGTATCATGTGTTGTTGAGGCGGTTGTCTACTAGCAAAGCAAATGAAACAACGAACGAACGCTTGATGCAGCAGAAGAGTTACTTGAATTGGGTAGCTATCTAGGTGCTCTAGCAAAACAAAGCAGGAGGTTGTTGTTGAGTGCCAGTCACGTGACTACGCTCGTTTGTAGGGTGGCCTGATCGTCAGGCACGTGACTACGCCTACTCTGGTAGATGCCTCAACATGTGTCTGAGCTGAAAGTTCTACTGTCTGAACCTTTTGGTGATCCTTCTATTGTGTAATAGAACATCGCGTTGCCGGAGTTTCTCGGATACTGTGAGTAGTTATATGGGTTTGGGTCCAAATGTATCATTGATAAGCTATTCACTTTTCTCCCAATATAGTTCTAAGTTGTCGTATCAGTGATCACGGGCGCGTCAATTCATGTCTCTAATTTCTGGTCGCGGAGCCGCTTGCAAGCATACTTTCAAATATTCCAACTGGGCATAGTTTTTATCACATCTGCAACAATGAAATCTCCTTCAATCATGCTTGCTGCTAGCCCTTCGTATAGGCGGAGATGAAGTCATGCGAGGCAATGTAGGGTCAACGCTAGAACAGAAGCAAAAGAGGGACCTTCTGCCTTTGAAATAATTGACACGAACAGGTGGAGCCGAGCCACCAGATTCTTGACAAAGCGCCTGGTTGGCGAATATCCAGTAACCAAGCGTTCCGGCCCCCATCCACAAAAGAACTGATTGGTTATCTTTATAGGATTACATGGCCCATATTTCTGAAACTAGGTGTAGCTGCTGTATTTCTATACTTGGACGAAATAATGATGAGACATATTCATATGTAGCGGATGTTTATGGTAGCTGTAAAGGGCCAATGCTCCGTATGCGGCAGCGTGACCGCGGACTTGTCAGAGAAGCACCAGACTTACGAGGGTCAGTCTTGCCAAGGAAGACACAACACAGCAAGCTCTATGTCGTTTTCCGAGGTAAGTTACACTGACACGTTGCAATGGGTTGGGCGAAATCAAGTCTGATTCCTTAGGTGTGGCCTGTATTCGTCGATCAGCTGCAGAAGGTAACAGTTTTATTTGTAAAGGTATATCTATCAGTTCTTGGCAGTTTGAGGACTGCACCTCATTTAGAAAGTGCGTGATTTCACATTCTTGTAAAAGTTGATCTTTCCTATGTTGGCTGCATGAAATTGAACGGAAGAATGAGAAGTGTAGGACATGGTCAATACAGTAAAACCACGTTTGCATAGAACAACCGATGCCCGCCAAATGTCCCAATAGTTTAATAAGGCATAACTCCAGCCAGTTTGAGAACAGTGTCGTCCAACACAGGCTTTTGGAGAGGTTCGACGCGCTCACCGGGGCATATGTTCCCGTTCCGCACCGCTTTGCCCTGCCCAAATATATTGCAATGAGGCCAGTGGGTGGTGCCCTAAAACCGGTGAAACAGCTCTACCTTCTTTTGCAAGTCCTCCGGTGTCGCAAGCTTTCGTGGAGTATAGGTCGCATAGATAATAGTTCGGATAGTATCACTTTGAGGTAGGGATGCATAATGAACAGTTCGTGAATCCCAAATGATGAGGTCACCAGGTTGAGCGTCCACTTTGTGCTACAAGATCTTCCGGCAACGGCTGCGACCACTGCCTATGACGCTTGTTCGGGACAGGTGCAATTTAAATTCCGGATCAAATCTACCATGGAGTTCACAGGTTATGCCAGGCTACGGCTGTGGGTGGAAGCCCAAGGCTCTAACGACATGGATATATTCGCGACTTTGGCAAAATATGATCCCAAGACCGGCCAAAAATTGGAGAGTCTGTTGGTTGATGTTGGGAGGCTGATGGAAGACGCTGGAAGAGAGCGCAATGAAATCCGTCGCAGGCACCTCGCTGACCCCAAGTATTGTGAGCCCTACTTTGACTCTGGTCCCATGGGCTGCCTGCGAGCCAGTCGCCGTGAACTGGACGAAAAACTGAGCACTCTCTTTCATCCGGTCTATACACACCAGACAGAGCAGTTGCTCCAGCCCAAGGAGGTCTTGCCTTTAGATATCGCCTTTTGGCCCTACGGGATGATCTGCAACCAGGGAGAAGAACTGCGGTTAACAATCTCAGGGGTGAATCTCAAGGAGCATCTCCGTCCCAATGATTGCCGGCCGCGGTTGCGTAATCGAGGAACTCACATCATCCACACTGGCAGTACCCGTGAGTCATTTCTTCTACTACCCTTGATACCAGTCCACGAATAGTTCAATCAATCCAGAATAGATATGAGCGAGACAAGGATGCTGCTTCCCTGAGGGAACATGTAGAGTAGGCTCATACATATACAGAGAAGACACAATTGGCATGTCATTCTCCGTACCTGGCAGAATTCAGAATTGAAACGTCAGAAACTGTTTAAATACACAAATACCTTTAGCGGTCCAAGAACTCAGTAAGTCTAGGGAGATCCGGAGCTGCTTGCTCCCATGAACAACTGGGCTTGCGCTGTCTTTCGACGGAGAACGCCAACAAAGATGCCCTGCCATGTTGGCCCAGCGCCTCCTCATGGCATGCTCAGAGACTATTCGGATGCACCGAAGCAGATAGGAGCAAGTGGTGAGCATTAAAACGGAAAGTAGGGGTCAGCAACCTCCGTAGAAAATCGAGTACGTATGGGCTCGGGGAACACTTTATCTTGGGGAAGTGGGTCTGCCGCCACCAAACGGGGAGCGCAAGAAGGGTGGGAAATGCGGCGCCCATCTTACTACTGGGTTATTGTGCTCCTGCATCGTGGTAGGGCAAACTGCGAAATTATTCGGAGACCAACTCGTTCATAGCGAGGGACTGTCTCTGCCTGCTACGACACTAGTCGGTTTGGCCAAGTCTAGCCCCCGCACATTTAAGCCTTTCCGGCGCTTCGCTTGTGTATGCAATGCTTCGAACGATGGCGGTCAATCGCTGTCCGCGCTCTTGGGTTATGTAGATCTTTCAGAGGTCCCGCTGCGAGCGCCTCGACCTGGATCCAAATTTCTGTCCGCATCTCGATTTACATTACGATCATGTAAGACTATCAACAAATCAAAGACCGGTCAGTTATCAAGGAGGTTTTGTTCGCCATTGTAGTCGACATGTGTTCGTCGTGCATTCTCTACAAGTTTGGTTTTGAAGCGGGTAGGAAGGAGGCCAGGACATCAAAGCAATTAGTAAGGCAATCTTAACAGAACATGACAAAGTATGCGGCGAGTCACAGCAAAGTCAGGCATGAGTAATTCTCTTCAGGCTACTACATCACTATTCAGAAATAAAGCCAAAGGACTTACGAGTCTGATAGAATTATAACAGGATCAAGAGACTGTCTCTTATTTATATACCTTAATCTAGGGAATTTATTATTTATAATAAGTAAGCCAGCTCAGTGACCTGCGTAACAAAATACCGGCACCTGAACTACAGAATGACGCGGAGAGAAACTCTCTGAAATATATCAGAAAAGTGTCCCGGTACGCCGAGACTTCTAGAATATACTAACAGATAGTAGGAAGATTCCGCAGAGCCTAAAATATAATAATGATTCCTGTTAAGCTCCCTAGTAACGCTTTTCATATTCTTTCAACCAACACACATGCTTGTAACACAGAGTGTTCTGTTATTTGAATTAATCATTAATAGTCTGATCAGAAGGAGTTGCACCAGGTTTATCATCTTCTAAACTACATTAAGGCGCAATCTGAAGCCCTGTTCCCAGGACAGGTACACAGATTATTACAAGAAGCTAAGACACATGCAGAGGTCTAGCTAATCATTTACTGCAAAATTGCAAAGGCTGGTATTGTTTTCCTGTGTTATCTGTCTAAGTAAAGACCCTTGCTTCTATGTACATTTTTATTTAGCTGCACAAAGAAGTATATACACCGTGATACAATAGGGGATTATATCCTGGTTGATGGACTGCCGTCCATACTCTAGATAAAAGAATCAGAGGAACACTACAAGAAGATATTCAAGAGCTTTATTAAGGAAAGTCTATCTATGCTCTTTACCAGATATTAAAACACAATTTACCTACTTCTGAATAAAAGCACACTCCTCATCATCTCCATCTCAGAGACAACCAAATCTAGTCTAATATAACTTAATTTAGGTAAGCTGTCGTGCGATAAGGAACATTCAGCTACACTCTCAGACAGCCTATAAGCCATACCAAGAGCCAGTATTTGCGAACTTAAGCTGTACAAGCATTCCCTTTGGCGCAGCATGCAAAAGCAGCATTATATGACCACCTTCAATGTCACATCAGCAGAGAATCTCATATCTCTTCGATGCCTACACAGCCTGCTGTACAGTATTCTCTCCCCCACAGATCATCTTAATTTTTACCTCCAGAGTCTCCTCCAAGACTCCCACGGCCCTACTAGGTGGACTAGCAGCTAGCAGTATTACCAGATTAAATTCATCCCGTGTCAGTGGAGGTCCAGTAATAATTAATATACTTTCTGCCTGGATAGCGGCCCGCGCCGCCAGCAAAAATAGCGGCCTTCCAGGATACAAGATTGGTTAGAAACATCCTTATCAGATCCTTGCTGTTGAATACAATAGGCAGACAAAAGTCTCGGGACATCCCGCTCCCACGCGTGATGTTTTAATAAATTCAACATCTTTAAATAACCATTACACCACTAAAATAAGGTCATTTGGTTCAGAAATCAATACAAATTATAGGTATTCTAATGAACTCATATCTAAGCATACTCTGTAATTTTTTTATAGACTTTAAATATGATAATCTCCAGTTAAATTAGCATACTAATTTAAAATCTTGTATTTATTGATTTTCTATGTATAAAAATTTTTCTAAAACCATAATTAACTAATATTTTTATTTTATTTAGAAAGATTTTATAAGCTTAATTATTCTACTTATTGATATATCTTTTCAAAAGTTTATTAATCATTAAAAATAAGCTGAGAAATACTAAATCTTGTAATTTAACTTTAAATAAACATTAAGATATTAAAGATTATAATTAATTATATTTTTTATCTATATAAAATATATTATATATGAATGAAATGCTAAGACTATCTTTTGATATTAAAAATACTAAAAAATACTGTGAATCCCATAAACAATAAATCAAAAAATATATTCAAAATAAAATTATATGTTCTAAATGAATACTTCATTAAAGCATAATATTTTAAATAATATTAAATATATTTTGTGAATTATTACAAAAGATTATTAATAAAATTTAATTAATATATGATATTATAAAAAAACCTCTTACCAGATAACTTAGACTGCTATCTAAATTAATAGTCATATAAATCTAGTTATTATAAAACAGAATCTAGAGGTATCTTAGAATAATTATAGATAAAACTTATATATTTAAATGTCTAAAAAGAAATTTTAATCTATATATAAATCAGAGATTCTATTTATATAAAAACTATTTAAATTTGTGGCTGGAGAGACACAAAGGAAAGAATTAATAAATATTTAATAATATTTTATATATATATAGAGATAAGATATTATAGATAATATTAAATAATCTTATCTGCTTAATGCTAAGGCATATCAATATTATTTATAAAATCAAGAACTCTTATATTAAATATTAGTATTAGAAAAGATTAACAGCAAAGAATTCCTGTATATAGATTTAGTAGAGATATTAAGTTCTGAATAAAGTTATTTCTAAGGACAGGGGGCGGGTATCCTGAGATTTTTGATCTTGTAGTGTATATTATGTATAACCCGGAAGAAACGGAAACATGTTACGGACCCCTGCTAGTTAATCTACTAGTAAGGCGGACTCGCCAGGCAGAAAGCGCCGATAAGGGCAGCACTCAGGCAAAGCCAAGTTGTTATTTAGTACAATTCCCAATTACCTTTACAACACCCAGAACGGCCACGCATCACGTGATCACCTACCATCATGCCTATCATTGAAGGTATACTTAAGATATACTGAGACCCTGGACTACAATTAGATCAACCATCAATCTACCCAGAATGGTATACAATGTGGTATACAGAGAATAAGATATATAAAAATATTCTTTTATATACTTAACTAGTTTTATTCTTTGTACTTAATAATACTGTTTTTAAATAACCATATATTTAGAAGTTTAGTAATAGAATACTTATTTACATTTACTTATAAATAATTATATAATATTATCTAGTCTTACTTCTCTTCTCTTATCTAAGACTAGTTATTCTTAAATAATTATCAGTCTGATACCTCCTCGATCCAGTTTAACGGTACGTATACCAGTGAAGCTAAGCTAACAGGAACAAAAAAGTAATTTTAAAATTTAATATATTAAATACCAGTTAGTATAAATATTTATTAATTATAATTATTTATTATATTAACTACTTCAAGTTTATTATACACTCCGCAGCAGGGCTCTAGTGTCCAAGAAAAAGAGTAGTAATAAGATTTAATAATATAAAAATTAATAAATATAATTAATTAATTACAAGAAAATATCACTGCCTTGAAATAATAGAACTAATTATTTAAAGATTACTTAATAGTCAAGTCTATTAAAATTAATTTACTAGAACTGTTTAATAATAATTAATTAAAGCTTAAGATTTTCTTAACCCAGTTAAACTTATATCTTAATATAAATAAAGAAAAACTTAAGAATAAGATTAATAAAATCTTTTTTATATCTATTTATTTAACTAAGATAGTATTTAATTGGTTTAAGCTGTTTATCCGCGATTACCAGGAAAAGCCAGTAAAAAATTAGAATAATAATATTAAAAAAATCTTTATTAATTATACCAGATTTAAGAAACATCTCAAATAAATATTCAGAAATATTAATATATCATAAAATACTAAATAAAAATTATAATAACTTAAATAAATTAGATCAGTATTTAAGTATACTTCTAAGTTCTTATAAATTATTAATTACTTAGACTGAAATAAAGACGCCTATATCACATAATTTAAAAAAAAACTCAAGATAAAAATTTAAGAGAAACTTATTTAGTAAAAATAATTAAATATATTATAATAAATAATTACAGCAGCAGTCAAAATCGACAACAAGTTGTACAAATATAATATAAAATAAAAGAAAGACTAATAAACTAGTAAATTTATATTTTAATAAAATAATTAATAAAATTATTAAATTAATAATAAAAGACCAGTACAGCCTAGAAACCTAGAATATAAAAATTTTTATAAATTAAAATTAATAAAGCTGGATATAACATAGTATCAGATTTAATAAAATAAAATCTCTAAGGAAAAGCTTGAAAGGTATAAAAAAAATTATTTATATTTTAATTATAATAAAATAAATTATTAATTAAAGAATTATAAACAGAAATATTAATAGTCTTAGAAGCAGTTAAGAATTACAGACAAAAATTAATCAGAATTAAATAAAAAGATTAGAAAAGTCTATAATACTATTAAAATTAAGTTATTAAAAGAATAGATTAAATTTATAATATAAATATAAAATAGCAAGAAGCTACATACTATATAATAAAAATAATTACTAATACCAGAAAGCAGAATATACTAGAACTAGTTAAAATAATAAATTAATATAAATAAGCTAATAGTATTAATAAAATTATAAAAAATTTATTAATTATCTAAACTATTTACTTAACTTACAGAAATTAATAATAGTAATAAGCCAGCTCTAAAGAATAAATATTCTAATATAATTTAAAATAAATTTAATTTTTTAGACAAAAAATACAGTACTTAGTTAAATAATCTTAAATCTAATAAAAAAAAACTTAGTAAGATATTTAATATTTTAAAAAAATCTTTATTAAATATCAGTGAATCATGCTCCATGTAATAAGATGAGAATAAAGAAAACTAGAAAAATAATAAAAATAATATTTTTTATTAATTAAACTGTATTATAAAGAAATTTAAGAAAAATCTAATATAATTTTATCTAGAATTTAAGAAAATCATGTAATACTGTCTATATTAGAATCTAAGATATTAGGAAATGTGAAATAAGAATTAGAGATAATACTTATAAAAATATTTTTATTATTTAAAATTTTATTTAATATATAAATAAAATAATATAGACTATTACTACTACCTGTTTAAAGTCAGCCGCAAGGTACAGATAACTGGAATAAATCTAAGATATAATTATAAAAATTATATATATATATATTTTAAAGAAAATAAAAAATACTGGAAATATAATAAACTTTTTTAAATTATATATTACACGGATATATACTTTATATATTATAATCAGAAATATCTCGCAACCTACCGACTAAAAGTACCAGAAGTGGTAGAAACCAGAAAAAATTATTATTTATATATTAATTTTAGATATTCATGTATAAGATATAAATAATATTTATATTATAAGATAATATATTAGATAGCCTGCTTTGACAATC